AGACGATCTATAAAATGAGAGAAGAGCTTTGTTCCCTGAAACACAATGGCCGAACTCTGAGGGAAGCATTAGGTACTAGTAAAAATAATGAATTCGTGATTGCTTTGTATAATTTGGTTTTCACACATAATTTCTCGGTAGATCTCAGTAGCTGTTAGACTTGAAATAGTAGAGACGTTAAGATCATAAGCTTTGGTCATTTTACCTCAAACGACTAGCGGGTGGTAGCTCGCGGCTACCATATTTGCTTTCATTCATCCACTCACCTCGTAATTTAGGTGAGAAATTGTCTTTAAATTAAGTGCGTTGAAATAGAACTCGATAAAAAAAAGCACTGAAAAGAGTTCTAAAAAGTTGTATTTCTTCTCAAACGTGGGATTGTGATGTTTTAGGGTGCAAAAAACCTAGCCTGCGAGAACAGTCGTTTCTCCACCCTCCTCGACGCTGGCGAAACGTCCTCAGCGGCGAAGAGCGAGGAGAAACAGCTGTTTTCGCAGGCTACAAAGAACCTTGTGGTAAATCATTTACCTCTGGAGCGTGGTCTAGCCGTACCAACGTGAACCCAAACCGCAAACCTGACGGCAAGGCCCTGGTCACGTGACTTCTTAACGTTCGCCGGTCGCGGAAAATGCCGACAAACCTAAATCTAAAGGTCTCTATTGAATTTAAGTTAGTTTTCTAATTTTAGCTTCCTTTTAAGTCGCTGGCTGGCAGACTTACGTATGATGAAATTGTATCTTACAACCAATCAGTCTGAACATCAATCGTTACATTTTGCAGATGGGATCATTTCATCCAGAAAGAGAAGGCACGAAGCGAAAAGGTGAGGAGATGCTATAGTTCACAAAGGTTCTTTACATTTTTTTGGTTTGGAACTTTCCCTCAGAAACACAATCCATGACACATTCCGGTAATTTCTAGCGGAATGGAAAACACTACTTATACGTTTTCGGAAGCCCTTGTATCTAAAAGCGTTTCCCAGAACCAGAAAACGCAACATGTAAATAATGTTAAAACTAACCCTAAGTTTCTTTGTCCATCAAACTATATAGCAAATGTTCAGTATTATTTACAGAAGAATGAGATCATACTAAGTGGAGATCCATTTATACTCCTTGACGCCAAAAACTTTGCGGCGAAAAAAAACATCCTCATTTTATGACTCACACACTTTACAATGAACTTTTCACCCGCTCTTCTGCGCTTGCCCTCTAATTTTACAGTATTCTTACACATTTTTTCGCTTACTCGAACTCTATCTATTGTCTGAACATTTTATAAGAGGTGGAATTGGAGCCTAATTTAACTTTTGTGACAAATAGACCCCCTTTATATAAAAATGTGGCGCAAAAGTTATTCTGCATTCCAAAAATCACGGGTTTAATTCGAATTCATATTTCACTTTCAGACCAAAGGGCTACGTTGAGGCCACAAACAATACTTTCTGGGACATAGGCATTGCGATGCTACAGCAACTGAATCCTTTTGGTGGTACCAGGAGACCAGCATCAAAACCTTTAGCAGCATATGCTGCACCGTTACCATTACCCGGGAGGCTAGAAGAGAGAAAATCACTCCGTCCATATCGTTACAAATAAATTAAAGTCAAGCCAAATAATCAGATTAAAATGTTTTGAAACCGTTCAACCTTAAGGACAGTGCATTTACACGATCGATAGCTTACTTTGTTTACCTTTCGGTGACGAATATCACAAGTCACCTTTAATGATTATTTTGGTAGTGAATGCCAGCATGGTAAATACTAAGTTGGGAAAATTACTTAAGTATAACGTAACTTGATTAGTTTTATAGTTAACAGTTGTTTTGCGGATTGTTTGGCAAAGCCTAGATCATTGATATATAATTTAGTAGAGACTGCGCTTAACCCATTCGCCCCTGAACCGCCCGTAACCGCCCGTGCGGATCCACGTCCTTTCTACCCTTTGTGACGTCATCAGTTTTAACAATCAAGGACAACTTTGTCCGCTAACTTGTGCAGAGTGAAGAGATCTTTCAAACCATACCAGAATGAGCACAATTCAGTCAAGGACACCGGAGGAAGAGGCAAAAAACCATGTAACATTGACCTTTCCTTTCACCTAATCCTAAGATCCTAAAAGCTTTCCTAAAAACTATTCCCACCAAAATGAAGCCTACTAAACGCCCAGCAAGAGAAAAAAAAATGAGGCAAGAAAAGCGAAAAAAGAGGGGAGGAGAGAAAGCGAAAAGTAAAAGTCAAGACTGCTGTGTCACTTTTAAATTGCTTTCTGTGCATGCCCGAACTTCGCAAGCTGATATTTTGCACCTGGATCAGAAGGCAGTGATGTGTACGACCTGTAAACCGGTTTGTGGTAAGTTTTAGCTCTTTATAGCACGACAGTGACAAGAAAACCACTCGACTAGCTTCAAAACGCGTTTTTCGGCAAAATCTCCAGGAGCGAATGGGTTAACTGAGCAGAAGCGCTTTTCTTTGCATACTTCTACTATTCTACTACAGTGGAACCTCGGTATAGCGAACGATTTTCTTTACCCCAGTTATAGTAAAATAGATAAAAAAGAAACTCGATATATAGATAACGAAACCTCGTTATCAGGGCGAACAAATTTTGCCAGTCCCTTGGCCGTTCGTTATATCGAGGTCATCGCCAATGTATAATTAAAGAACTCGTCTTAGTATAGTGTTCTAGACTATAAAGACTACATTTTAAGCGGTTTTAAGTTGGGAGACTAATATGTATGTGTACTAGGACATTTCACATGTTAAAAGTATTGTTGTTAACTTAGCCAAGTGGTCTTCGCTCTGTCCCTTACCTTCGTGTATATCCGATACAAGAGTTCAGTATTCCTGGAATATCATGCACAATTTTCATAGCAGATACCGTCGGTATGGTTTATTAGAACAAACGTATTGAGCCTAGTAAACAAGTAGCGGGACAAAGAAGCAATGGCCAAACAAACTACTAACCCGTTTATATTGGAGTTGACTAACAATAAATAATGAATTAGTACTTAAATTTAGACTAATAGCTTTTGCAATACTGTAATTCCTTAAGGGTCATACAAATAAAGCATTTGGTGCGTGTTGAAAGTAAATGAGTAGTTAAATGGAAGTGATTTGCATCCTCTTAGCCTCTTTTTCTGATCTAAATGATAGCCCACGTTCGATATTTGCATTTTAAAATTCTAACATGACTCTGAGGCTTTCTGGTCATTTTTCTATATTTGGTTTGGTTTTCTTTGTGCTCAAGTATCTTCTCAGGAAATTGCGCGACAATGGAGTCGTGAAAATTTCTAATTTTAACCCTAAAGCCTCGGAGACATGTTAGAATTTTAATATATCGAAGGTGGGCTAAGAGAACAAACGCTGTCGTTTCGCGCCCCTATCCCCTTTTGTATTTGGTACACCAAAATAGATGCTTTTTCATTGTTTTGGCACACTAACATCGTCATGTGAAAACGATCCATAAATATGAGAAAGGGCAATTTCCCCCTCCACAATTCAACACGCTGCAAGCGTAACCAAGTTAACTTGCCTGTGCTTTGCTTTTAATATTTTCGCAAGCTAGTATCCTGTGGAACAAAAACACGAATTTCTTCAAGTAAAAACTCCTCATTTTTAAGCAAAGTTTTAATAGTAAGTTTTGTATTAAGGGTGACCGCTTCTAGGCATATATACCCGTGGAAAATCCTTGTGAAGAAACTGGGTACTGGTGTCCGTATTTCGAATCCTTGTCCTTTGCCTTGCTTGACGCTACCGAATACGCTATGGCACCAAACACACCAACAGAAAGAACAGTAACCCCTACAAGTAGTCCAATGGCAATAGCAGAGTACATTGCGGCGTTGACCAGAGTCTTAATGATGTGGGTTGGTTATATCGCGGAATAGAGAGCAAATGGTAACTCCGCGTGAGTGACACCGAAATTTTGGGGCATGGGGAGACTAGAGATCACGGGTTTCGAGAAAAAATGTTGCAGTAGTTATGCCAAAAAATCGACACTGGCAGGATACTGGTAGAAATTTTGGTCAAAAATTGAGTAATTATTATGGAAAACGAAATCGGCCTATCGCGGGGTATTGTTCTTTCACTAGTTGGTCCTCTGTGATGGACTTAAGTTTTCAATGGAGACAAAAGTACAATGTTTCCGGCCGTGCCCGACGGTGGATGGCGCGTTCACGAAAGGCTTCATCGGAAGAGATGTTAATCAGCGACCAACAACTAAAAATTTAAATTCTCTTTTAACTCTTTCTTTTTATAAATTCAGAGTTTAATTTCATTTCCCTTGAGTAGCGGAATAACCTTCCTTTTCCGTGCAATATGCTTTTCTTCCCCACATGACGCTGACATTGGCGAGAATAGACTGTGTGACCAGCTAAAGGAATGTTTATGTGTGAGGCAAGGATCTGGCACTACTGTTTTATGCTAGTCCGCTTTCCGTTTCTCTCAGTTGTACCTTTCTAAAGCCGTTTTTACAAACATAGTTCGTAGTGCGCGTTTTACCTAGTCCATGTTTATACTCAATCCGGAGTCCGCATTTTTTTACCTAATCCGTGTTTTATACCTGTCAGCAGTCCATGGTCCGCAGTCCACAGTCGGTGTTTTGTACTGACCGCATTTTCCCCCACCCTTTAGTTTGTCTTCGACTCCGTCAGTACTTTTTCATGGCTAAGGTCAGTTCCGGAAGCGGAAAGAGGGGAACACAAACTGTCGAGCGAAGAGGCTGGAGAAAACTTACCAGAAGAGTTAAAACCTTAGTTAAAGATTAGAATAGGAAGGAAACATTGAACTTGTTTTAATTTATATTTCCAAGGTTATGAAATAGAAAGTGCTGACGTCAGCGAAATATTTCGCCCCTGCCTGTTACCGCAGTCCCCCTCCCCAGGGGGTGACGACAAAACATGGACCAGGGGTCCATGGACCCCCACTTTGGACCGGGTCCATGGACCACTTTCATGGACCGGGTCCATGGACCCCCTGTCATGGACCGGGTCCATGGACAGTTTTTTTAATAATTAGAATTGAACAAGAACAGAAATAGTGCAAAAATAAGGTTAAAAAACAACAACAACAACAAACAATGCTCGATTGATCAGTAATGTTTAATTGTGCTTACATAGTGTAAAAAAAGGGGGGGTGGGTACCTCATGCCAAAATACTGCTTGTTCCAATGAATTGTTTTCTCTGATGGGTAGATTATGCTTCGGAGGAAAACCTTTTGACTGAGCAAATGTGAATTTTTGCCGCTTATTTCATACCAAGAGGTCGTGACAAACATATTGATTTTCTACCTCTTTTAAAATGTAAAGCTGTTCATTGCGGCTGATCAAAAGGGTTTTAGGTTGTTTATAAATTTCTCCAAAGTGCATCCTGGATCTGAATAATTCTAAGCCACTTTCTTTTTGTCCATGAATGTCACTTTTTCCTGCAATGTTTTGTCACGCTGGGCCCAGCTTCTTAGCGCTTTTAGCAGGACGATTATAAATTCTCACGGATAGTGATTTACAGATCCAGATCTTGAAGAAGAAGAAGTGGCAGGGATTGTAGCTTAAACTGAAGCTACATCAACTATGGAGAATTGCGATGTGACTCAGTCATGATTGCTCTAAAAGCAATGTATTTTAATTCCAGCTTGTTTTTCTAAGGTGATGCGAATCTTTGTACTGGAGCGCGTAATTCCTCTCTTGGTGATAACTTTTGAATCAGCTTAATTTAACAGTCTTGCGACTGCACATGTGCAAGCAGAGTGTATGTCATGTAAGCAGAACTAAATATTTGTGATCAATCGTGAGCATTGGTCGACAGCGTTTCGTCAAATCTTTTTTTGGCACTATTTCTGTTTTTGAGTGTCCATGGATCTGATGTAAAACCTTCTTATAAAAAAAAAAAAAACTGCCCATGGACCTGGTCCATGACAGGGGGTCCATGGACCCGGTCCATGAAAGTGGTCCATGGACCCGGTCCAAAGAGGGGGTCCATGGACCCCTGGTCCATGTTTTGTCCTCACCCCTCCCCAGGGGAAAATGCAAAGTTTTACGTCACTTCCTTTATATTTCTTGGTAAACTGTTCCTGTTCTCGGAAAAGGTACAAAGGAGAGATTTTTCTCTAGTTTCCGTATTTGATGCGGCATTTTCAGAGCGCTTTCATTCGGAGAGCTTCACAAATTTTAGAGTAGCTTCAGGTACGTAAGAATTTTTGAAAACTTTCGCTATTTCTATGTCAAAACCAAACGAACAATCTCGAACAATCAGATTTGCGTTTTTATAATGCATAATAAGCCACTGGGATCCGTCTTGGTTAGGCTTTATATGGTGTTAGAAATTATCGCTTTTCGCTGTTGCCTACACTACTTTTTGTAAACGATTTCTCCAGTGTCGGTCAGGGCTCCTTCAGCTTTGAAAACGATGCTTTGATCTCCGCTGAGTATTTGGGGGCTTAACGTTTATGGCGTTTTATATCTCTTAATAGTCTTGAGGAAGTGGCCTTGTGAAGCTTAAGTGGGTGTTGGAACTAGCGACATTTGCCAAGGGAATTTCGCGTTTTTTGACGGTGAAGGTGAGCCATACATGCTTAATTTATCACATAATTTAATAGATTTTTGCTAGCCTAAGTAATAGTGTATCTCTCTTGCGGACACAACTGAAAAAAATTTGTTATTTCTCAGCAGTTGACGACAAAAAGTTTGACTCCAACTCAGATTGTCGGTTAAGAATAAGCTTACTGAGTTTCCTCAGTGTCGATTTGCTAATGGATAAACTAAAATAAAGATCAACCGCGATTGTCTGCACTTCATGAAGTTTCTCACCGCTGTGGAGCAGTTGTTTTTCTCAGCCCAAGATAACCACACCAAATCCTATAAATGACAATGAAAATCAGTATAGTTTATGTTGCTGCATATAATTATATCAAATAAAATTCTTGGTTGCTTGAGAAATTGTAGTCGAGACTTTTTATCGAGGTAACGCATTTCTTAATGTCCGTCCATCGTTTCCTTAGGACTACGAAACTAGGAATTACTTGTGTTACTTACACCAACTGCCTGTGTTTGACGCCATTCATTCGGGTAGTAAGCCTGTAAAGATGGCGCCTGTAAAGATGGGAGAACACTGACTGGTTATTTTTCGACGAGCTGGGGTGCTGAAGCTAAGACGAGATTCGTTAACAACAAAGTGGTAGACAAATGATTTATTAAACAAGAGATAAGTTAAATTATCAGGTTACAGAACTTAGATGTACTGACTTATTTTGCCTTGTCCTCTGTATGCTGATTTACTTGATTTACTTGTACAAATGCTCCGTGGTCAATGTGTAGACAACTCTCTGTGCTTAGTTAAGGGTCAGACTGATCAGGAAAATGTTTTTAATTAGTTTAGAGCCTCATTTGTAACAAAATGCCATATTTTTAAGCAAGTAAGGTAAATTAAGATGACTTAATAAGGCGACTTTTGTTCGATTTTAGGGGCCCAGAGTAGACTTTTTTTCTCTGATCTTTAATCAGTAAAAACGACAAAAAAAATCAACAAAGGCTGTAACTGAGAGGACTATGTTGCCTTCCTTTAACTTAAATAAGTACATTTCTCGGAAAGAAGCAAAAGATTTCTCTGAATTATCGTAATTATGACTTCCTGTTTCGATCTTGAGCAAGCCGGCACTTCCTGAAACTGGCCGCAAAGTGTTTATCATTCTGCGCAGACTACGTAAGTATGGCAAGTGCAGGGTTCGATGTTATTGATACCCCACGTCACGGTAAACTATAATATCACTGTTTGCAAAAAGGCCAAAAAACTGAAAATGAACAACTAACGGAAAAAAGGTAAATTCAAGGTTCAAGTTTATGGACCTCACCAGACATGAGAACAACGGCTTGTGGTATAAAAACTGTGCACCACAATTAACAGTTCGTTTTTACCACACAGCAAATGAAAGCTAGACCATAGAGCCGTGCCCTTTCCTGCCCCTTGCGAGCTGTAAAAGTCCCCTTCAAATCGATAAGAATTAAAACAACAAGGCCGATAGTTAGTGAGGTCTATATCTTGAATCCTTAGGAAATGGATGATCCGGAAAAAGGGGAGGTCAGTATTCACGATCTTGTTGATGCCACACGTGAGGTAAACTATAATTTTACCAGTGTTTGCTCATTATGGGTAGAGGTTTGGGCAATAAAAACGCACAGCCAAAAAAAGAGAATTCGAGGCTGAGTGTATTGATCTCACCAGGCTTAACAGGGCACAACAACGGCTTGCGGATTATTTATTGTGCACGCCACGTAAGCGGATCCTTTTCCCACACAGCAAATGAAAGACGCCCTTACTAAATCACGTCCCCATCTTTTTTCGTTTTGGCACGTCCACGTCCCCTTCCAGCTCCTTCAAATTGATAAGAATTAAAAAGACAGGGCCGATGGTCAGTTTAACTTGCTACAACTTGTACTTTGAATCTATTATATATAATAACCAAACAAAAACTTTTTGAATAACTTAAATCCTCAGGAAATGGATGATGGAAAAGAGGACGTCAACATTCTCGATCTTACTGCAAGTGAGGTAAACTATAATTTCATCGGTTTGTTCGACCAGAACCAACTGCAGAAAGAAATTAATAGGAAGTTTGGGAAGTATGTTTATAGGCGTTGCCTAGGCCAAGGGCATAAAGAGCAGCTTGACGAACATTTATACTAGCCGTGTTGCCTCGTTGAACAGTTCCTTTTCCAACAAAGCAAATGAGAGATAGATCATACTTTACCCGGTGGATAACGTTCCCTGTTCTTTTGCAACAGTATAGTTTGTTTATTCTTGTTTTTGCTTTTTCCCCCTTTTCTTTTAATTTGTTTGTCAAGTACCCTTCAAACCCTCAAACTGATAGAGACTATATTTATAAGATAAGACCAAGGGTCTAAAGTGTCATATAACTAGTCTGATTTTCTGCCTTTAAAAAGATGACGTTTGGTTTTGTATTATATATAACTATGTACTTGAATCGGTAGGAAATGGGTGATGGAAACGAGGACGTCGACATTCACGATCATCCCCTTGCTGTTGCTTCAAATGAGGTGAACTATTGTTTTATCAGTGTTTGCACATAGGAAGAGGTTTGTTCAGCAAAAACGAACAGCTATGAAAAGGGCGTCAGATTTATGGACCTCACCAGACTTGACATGGGTAAAAAAACTGTGGGTCAATTGCTGTGCGTCCTGTTTAAGCAGTTCCTTTCCTCATGACGGTAAACAAAAGGTAAACCATAGTACTGTACCAGGTAGACAATGGTAAAAAGGTCTCTTCAAATTGACAGGGATTCAAAAGACAAGCGGACGGTCAGTCTGATCAGTGTAGTACAACTTGTGTGATTGTGCTTTCAGTTTAAAAGGGCGACCTTTAATTTTTTTTTAATACACTTGAATCCGTATAGGAAATGGATGATGGAAAGGACGATCTTGCAGATGCATCACGTGAGGTAAACTATTATAATTTCATCAGTGTTTACATATAGGCAGAGATTTGCTCATTAAAACGCACAGCCAGAAAATTACTTGACAGGGTTATAACTGGACCATTTACAGAGCTAAGTACCATAGTTAACATTTTAACGTCCCTATTGCTCTTTTCGAAAGGTAATTTCTTCCTTTTCTTTACCCCCTTTAATTTGTAAGATAAAGATTAAAAAAAGAAAGTCCGACCGTCCGTAAAAACGTCTTAAGTGTAGCACAACTTGTGTGATTTTCTGCCTTTAAAAACGTGACATTTGTGTTTTCGTAGGACACGGATGATCGAAATGACTCAGAGGACAACATTCTCGATCTCGCTGATGCCCCACGTGAGGGAAGCTGTGAATTTATCGGTTTTTGCATATAGGCGGAGCTTGTGCAACAAAAAAAAAATACCGAAGAAGAAGAATATTCAAACTTGAGAGGTGCAAAACAAAAGCTTGCGCCGATCATTTAACAGTCGCTTTTTCCACGCACCAAATGAAACACAGATCATAGTACCGTTGATAACTTTTAGCCTGCTATGTTCGAACAGTAGTTTCTTATGTTTTTCCTTCTTTGGTTTAATGTTCCCTGGTCTCCCCTTGAAATGTGTAAGGATTAAAAAACAATGGCGATATACGTAAAGTGTGATACAACTTTGGTGATTTTCTGCCTTAGTCAAAAAGACATCCAATTTTGTTGTTGGATATACTTAAATCCGTAGAAAATCGATGGTGGAAAAGAGGACGTCAACATTCTTATACTGGGGGAGACTGGAGTGGGCAAGTCCACATGGATCAATGGAATCGCCAACTATTCCAAGCATAACTCTCTGCAACATGCCATGGATGATCCTGAATTCACTGTCTTAATTCCTTCAAGGTAAAGTACAGTTACGTAGTCGGTTTAACATATTAAATGAATAGGCCGATACAACTGCATTAATTAAATTGTCACTAGAGCTACCAAAGTGGCAATTAAAGTGGTCTTACTCTTTAATTTTCATTCTCAGATTTATTTTCACAAATGATGAAGGAGAAGAGGTGGACATCATAATTGGAGCTGATCCAAATGAGGATCTCAAAAGTCTTGGACAGTCTGCTACCCAGTTCCCTCAAGAGCACATCATTGAAACAGAAAGGGCAAGGTTCCATCTCATTGACACCCCGGGCATTGGCGATTGCAGAGGTATCCAGAAAGATAAGGAGAATTTCGAGAACATCTTGGCCTTTCTAACCTGCTATGATAAGATTAATGCAGTGGTTGTGCTTCTGAAGCCAAACAACTCAAGGATGACCGTGGCTTTCAGGTTCTGTGTGCTAGAACTTTTGACCCACCTCCACAAGTCCCTGGCGTCGAACATCATCTTCGCCTTCACAAACTCCAGAGGAACCTTCTACAGACCGGGGGACAGTCTACCAGTTCTCAGACGGCTCCTAAAGGAGAGAAACATCAACATCACACTCTCTCCGTCAACCTATTTTTGTTTTGATAATGAAGCATTCAGGTACTTAGCGCGGAGTCATTCTTTGACTAAAATGTGTAGAAGCATAATAAAAAAAAGCCGAGAGTACAAGTTCAGGATTCAGGCAGAAATACATTCCATTTCTTTGAATTACCACGGCGGAAAAAGACAAGCTATGTAGCTTATTTAAAGTAAATCATGGAGACACCCCAGACTGACTATTTCTTAAGTCTTAGTTTTTAGATGATCGTTCTTAAGCATTATAGTCCGATAAATATGCTAACGCCTCTCCAAAAATGCTTTTTAACATTAATTACTCTCTTTAAAGTAATTTTCAAATTATATTAGCGATTTTTCTTAATTTCGTGGCTTTATAATTAATAGCTCTTTATTTTCAATGACAGGTTCCTAGCCTGCCACAAGAATGGAATTCAGTTCACATATGAAGAAGTTGACCTCTTCTCGAAAAGCTGGGATAAGTCATGCGACACAACTTGCGAGCTTTTTGATCTCGTTACAGACATGCAGCCCCACGAGACTAAGAAGACCCTAAGCCTGAACGAGGCGAGGAACTACATAATTGCCATGAGCAAACCAATGGGTGAAGCTGTTGAACTGATTGAGATGAACGTGAAGAAGATCAATGAAGTCAAAGAACAATGCAGGCTCTTCGACGTTGACATCGAGCGCTTTCAAGCCGAACTCAAGTTTAAAGGCTTCGACCGGGTAGTGACTCACCTGCACTATCCAATGACTGTTTGTGCAGACACCGCATGCAAGAAGTATGTGAATGTAGGAATGTCAAGGGAGAGGGAAACAATATATCCACAGATTTGCCACAACCACTGCTACCTATCAGGAGTTCCAGTCGAAACTACCAACAATGAACAGCTTCATGGCTGCGCGGCAATGTCTAACGGGACTTGCGTACAGTGTAGGCACAACTACAGAAGTCACATGCATATCACTTATACTACTACCCTGGTAGAGAAGGAATTCCTATCATCCGACGCACAGAGTAAGATTGCCGAAAAGACCAACTTGAAGGATCAGAAAGAATCGTTTATCGCAAATTTAGAGCGCAGCATCAAAGAACTTCAAGAGGAAAAGGAGTTCATTTATGAATGTGCCGGCCGCTTTGGCGTATTTCTCAAGGAGAATGCCATGATTCCCTATAATGACTCCTTTAAAGAGTACCTTGATATGCTGATTAGGGACGAAGAGGCAAGGGAGCAAGAGATAAGAGACGACGAAAAGATCGCTCAACTGAAGAAGGACAAGAAGACATATGAGCAGAAGAAGAAAATCATTATGGAGAACATTCAGTCGGGATGTCAAGGCGGGGAAAATCTCATCTCCATAGAAGCGATCTATAAAATGAAAGAAAAGCTTTGTCGCCTGAAGCACAACGGGGAAGCTTTGAGGAAAGCCCTAGGTACATTGTAAAGTAACCTCTTATTGACTTAAGTGTCAGCTTGAATTGGTGTAAAGATTCGCGCTGTTTTTAGAGTGGTGCCACGGACTGCATCGAACAATTCTCATTCGACTTTTCTTTAGAAATTTGGCTGCGTTATATTCTTCATTTAAAATTACGTTCCGTGGCCTGCTCATACCTCTAAAGACGCCATAGGAAGAAGTATAAAAATTTAAATGAAATTATAGGACTGGCTAACTTTACTCGTGAAACCGAAAGCGAAGGCTTTCTCATAGTGGCCTCCTTTGGCGGGATGGCTCGAGAACGTCATTACATGATCAGGCGGTCTAGCAATACTACAGGAAACCAAGACGCGTCTAGTCTGGCTCGGTTATTATAATTTTGCAAGTTAAATTTTTGAAACCGTTGGCCAGCCAAAATAATTTGTTTACTTTCCCTCAAATTACTGTGGCGTGTTTTGTAGTTTTTGCCTTTTCACCCACAGTTGTATGCTAAGTTTTAATTGTTTTCAGTGTTTCTCGAGCTCTTGAATGAATGAAATCTTCCGTTAATTTTGGCGATCTCATGATTGTGAAATAAAAATAAGTTAACGAATGACTTTTATTTTTTAGATGGCATCATGTCAGCTAGAAAAAGAAGCCATAGCGAGAGAAGGTAATCTTAAAATATGTAAAAGAGATGTGAGAGCATTACTCACCAGGCCCCGGTTCCTGGAAAGCCGATTATACTATCCTCCGATTAGCGTCAAATCAACGATTAATTTTCTTATTCCTTGGATAACTAATCGTGGGTTAAAAAGGAGTTCCTGAAAGCGAAATAAACCCACGATTAACTAATCCGAGATTAGTGTTAAAATAAACCGGTTTAACTAGTTTTTGGGATGATTACTTTAAAAAATATGGCGCGAAAAATGTTTAGGCACGGGTGAAGTAAAGGAAAATGGCGGAAAATGAAGTGGTCTAGGTTGAACCAAAGGACAAGAAGAGGAAACCGAAATTGTTCATTTACCTAGAAATAACTGGCCCAGTTTTTATAACATAGTCCTTATATTCAATCCGCAGTCCACAGTCCATGTTTTATAATGACCAAATTTATTACATGAAGTAGTAACCACCTTGGCAACTGACTATGTTTTCTCCTCCTCTTTCTCTCGAGGTCGTTCTTGACGATTTCTACCAAATATTGAATTGACTCTCGGCCAAACCTGTTTTTACTGCAAAGCTCTTCATCAGTGAATTGGTCGAGACTAATTTCTTGCTATCGGAACTTTTTTTCACGTTTTTTTGAGGCAACGGTAAGTCCGCCATTTTGTTTGTTTTACAAACGTTTTCACCCGATTAGTGACTTAATCGATCTCGCTAGGTGGGTTAAAATTAACACCTAGTTTATTCCTAGATTAAAGTTAATCATGCTTTCAGGAACAGGATCTAATCGTGGGACAAAATGCCTTCCCGCGATTAGCTAGATTTAATCCTCGATTAGCGCTAATCGGCTTTCTAGAAACCCGGGCCAGTTTATTGTAGGTATAAAAGAAGGCGTTTTAGCTGTCAAGTTGATTTTCATTCATAAGTAATGGTTCCATTTTCCCTCGTTTTTCCCCTGCTTTTTTTTCTTTACTGAAAACTCACATTTCATATTTTAATTTCAGTCGGAGGAGCTACGTGAGAGCAACAAGCAACGCATACTGGGGCATAGGTAGCTACCTAAAACGGAAGATTGGGCGGCTGAATCCGTTCCCGTCAAAGGCTTTAGTGCCAATTGCAGCATGGCCAAAAGCCATATAAAAACCACTTTGAGTTTACTTAACTGTTCTTGAACTGGCGATTTTAGCATGTAAACATAAACGCAAAGAATATGAAATTGATATATTCTTCATTTGATTTTAGCTTTCTTTAGTAGTCATCATTAATGTACTCGTTTACTAGATATATATTTCAAATAGAACCAATTTGTAATGTTTGGGAAACTTGGCAAGCATTTTCTTATCCACGCTTCCATGTGTGTGATCAGAAAGTTTGTCTTTATCAGCTTAAGACACATGACTCACAAATCGACTAGTAGCAGTCCAAGTGTTTCACCGAAATGGCGAATACATATAGTCCAACTGTATTCGCCTTGGGCGTATATGAGGACACTCGTTTTGTGACGTCATTAGGACGTCATCATTTAAGTTTCATGACGGAATCAGAGTTACGAACTGCACATGCAAGCGTGATGTCTTGAAACGGCTATGCTGGGGGTCTTCGACATCTTGATACACTTGAGTACATGACTGCTAAGGTTTTGTGCATGATTGCAAAATCAATTGTTTTAAGTAGGTTGCATCAGGAAATTTAGATGGAAGTGAAAAAAGTTATGTTAGCGATTACTAGGTATAATATTTATTTCGATGTCGGTTTCTTTAATATTAGCGTTAGCCAAACATCTGTGAGGAAAGTCGTGGTGGAAGTCTGGCAAAGAACTCTTTAAATGGCCTTTCAAAATACGGGACACTAAAAAGCAACAACCGAATATTTAGCTTCTAAAATGAGAGAATAATTACTTTTAAGCAACTATTCGATGATGTCATTGGTGGAGCTATGGTGGTAAAATCTTCAAGACAGATGGATGAATAATAATGTTGGTCTTGCAGAAGTCTTGTTAGTGAGACAATTTTTGTCGCATTTTTGATTCACCTAGGAATCCATTTAAAGAGGTCACGGTACAGAAAGCAGTTAATATGTAGCTTATTTAGCGTCAGTAAATATTCCCACCCATGGTAGATGATACCTGCGTTGATTATTACACGTTTTGCAAAATTCAGAAAAGAGTGTTCACTGATTTGGTTTTCCCCTTGTTTCTACTTTCATTCAATTATTAGATCTTAGTATGATTTTCTGTAAAGGCAATCTCCTTTTTGAAATTGAAATTGAATAATCATCAGTGGAGAATTGACAGAATACTCTAGAGCTGCTCTAGAGTGTTTTTACTTCATTCAGAATATGTTAGTAAACTTACTACACAGCACACTTATGGTCCTCAAACAAAGACGCTTTGAAAATAAAGTGTTTTTAAAATCAGCAATAGTTGTTTTGTTATTCGTCGCCGGGATTCTTCTACTCCATTATCAATAATGAAGTTCGTAAATTTGAGAAACGATAAATGCAATACCAAATCACCCAATGTGAGGGAATCGAAGAAATATTTGATTGTGGAATGGGAGATCCTGGGCTTTGGACTCCAGAATTCAGCTCATGGCATTCGGAATCCCACTAACGATTGGAATCCGGAATCCAAAGCGTAGAATCTAGAATCCAAGACTGTCTTGGATACATGAAGCAAACCAAAGTCAAATATACGGCTAGACGGACAAGAGTGGGCTAGATAGCTTTCTTGGATGTAGAGAACTTTTCAGAAGGTAAAGAATTAAAGTAAGTCCCTTTGAAGTGGAATTCTTTCCGGTCACGTCACCTATCTACTAGGGTGTTCTCACAGTTATCAATTTTTCCGACAATGCTAAATGCTTCTTTTCTGAATTATTACGGGTTGGTGATATTATTAAACACCACTCTGTTTATTGCAAAGGGTTATAATTTTTCTTGCTTGACAAAACCTAGAACACTCAGATCGCCCCATATCAGGGAATCCGGATTCCGGAACCCGGGAAAATTTTGCTGGTGGAATCCGGATGCCTGGGATTTGGAATCGGAATCCAACTAACGATTGGAATTTAGAATCCACGTTCCACAGATAAAGACTGGAATCCAGTAATTGGAATCGGGAATGCAGAATCCTAGACTTCCTGGATTCCCTTTTATGGGGCGATTCAGAGGATTGTCAGTGGCGGATCCAGGGGAGGGGCCAGGGGGGCCGAAAAAATTTTTTTTGGAGAGCGCCCCCCCCCCCCCCCCCGATTTTTTTCGGGTTTTTTTTTTACCCTCCCCCCTTCTGTTTAAAACACTATTTTTCTTTTTTTGTTTTTTTTTTTTTTTTTTTTTTTAACTATTTTTTGCAAAAAAAGTGTTTTAATAAAACGATAGGGAGGAGGTTTTGACCTGAGGGGTAGTCTTTGTATTGTTGGTGGGGAAACCAGAGCAGGGGGTTTGGATCTGGAAACAAATAAAATATTGGAAATAGAAAACCACATACCAAAAAAAAAAATTCGAACACCCAAATTGGAAAGGGGAAAGCGAAAATTTGACCTTCCTGGTTTCCCCTTTAGGGGGGATTTCAAGGCATTTTCCGGGGGCGACCCCGGGGGGGGGCCAGGGGGGGCCAAAAAATTTTTTTTTGGAGGGCCCCCCCCCCCCCCCCACTGATTGTCTACGGTATCTATTTGAACGCTCCCCCTTTCGATTGAAAACTACTATTTACTTTTTGTGACTTGTCTTCGTATAGTTATTTCACAGTATTTGCGCAAAAAGTGTGTTTCATAAAGCCTTGAGTGAGAGGTTAGTACCGGTAGTGTAGCCTATGGTGTGGTGTAGTGCCAGACGAAAAGAAGAAATTTGCTCAAACTCCTACCATAAGTCCTCTTAGTTTTTGGTCAGCGGATGGGCTCCTGGGAACCACTTGCTTGACCAAAATTAAAAGCCAGAGGAATCTGGGTACGAGATTTAAATTTCCCTTAGTTTTAATTATCCGCTGATGAACGATTAAAGGATTTAAAATTCATTAGAAACCTTAACGAATACGTTTCTACAAATTACGTCAGAATTTCATTAAAGCATTTTCAATTGAGGCTAACATATCCACGCTCAAGTACTACGTAGAAAAAATGCATTTTATAGGCTATTGTAACTTAGACAAGTGATGTTTGCATTTTTCTTAAGTTTAGTGTGTCCCTTGATTGTATCCAGTGCAAGAGGGTATTTTTGGACCAACATTGAAACATCACAGTTGGAATACCAGTATTAGTAATTAGAAAAAAAAAATTGAAAGCTAGATTAACGGGAGATAGCTGTTAGAGTAAGACTTATTACTGAATTTGTCATAAAAATAACAAAGTATTATATTATTATTCATAAGGCTGATAAGTAATAAAAGTAACTGAATGTAAGTGGAAGTTTTATTTTCGTTTAACCCCTTGTTCTGATCCAAATAATTAAGAATGCAGACGGTGTCGCAGTTTCGCGCGCTCTTTCCGTTTTGTAGCCGGCACCGGCCGGCTGATTGATCGTTTTCACTCTCGTGGCCAGTAGTACCGCGAATTTCTTCGAAACTTGAAAACAAAGATTTAACCCGAGAACGTGTTATGCCTCCTATTCTCAGACTTTTTGTGTCTTTTTCTCTTTCTCTTTTTTTGTAAAGGGTTTTTTAAAAGGTTTCTTTGTTTCTCATCGAACCGACCGACCGACCGACCGAAAATCAGGAAATGAACTTGATGCTAAACGAAAAAAAGGAAAAGAAAGAAAGAAAGAGAGAGGGAAAAGGGCATGGCCTTTAATAAACGTACATTGGAAAAGATCAGTGTGTAATCATTATCCTGTCCCAAGCCTGGTTCCACAACATGCAGTCAGTTTTATTGGACTGAGGTTCTGAGGTTTTTGTGATATCTGAAACTGAATCATAATCAAGGCAAGCCATTGTTCAGTCTCAGCCGAGGCCAGTGATCGATTGTGGACATTGTTTCCTCGGTATGACGAACGATTTTTTTTACCCCGGTAATAGTAAAATGTATGGAAAATTACTTCGATATAACGAAAACTCGTTATAGCGAACAAATTTTGACAGTCCCTTGGCTCTTCGCTATATCTAGGTTCCACTTTAACGATAAACATTGTTCACACGGAACACAGTTTGACATTGCTCTTGGAAATCGCCAAACCTGCAGATAAGTCAGTTATCTAGCAAATAACTAACTAATCTGAAAGTTGCGTTGATTTCTAACCGTACCCCTTAGCCAATAAGAAGACAGGATACAAAAATATAACAAACTAGACGAGAGTACTAGACAAAGAATTTAGCCCTGAAAGGTGGGCCCCTGTGGAAAGATTGCTCTGAATTGTGGGATATGTCTACTTAGTGTTTCCATTCAGCGGCCATTCAGCTGTGTTAGAAACTGGAGGTAAAAAGTCTTTAGAATCTTAAGGTGAACCCCACTCTCAAAAAGCATATATCGACGGGCGATCTGTTATTTGTCGCTATATGTAAGTTGCTGTTTAATCGTGAAAATGAAAATCTTCAATCAGTGATTCAAATGAGCACACGAGTAAGTAAGTTATGAACGGGACGATAGCAGGAGAGCGAGACGTTCAAGAGATTATTTCGAAATCAAGGGCAGAATTTGAGAGACGGCGATGGATTCTTATTACCAATGTACCAGATAATGTTGACTTAGAGGTACGTAAATCGCTTTTAACGACAGTAAATAATTGTAGTCACCCTTCAGCCTGGAATCCAATATTCTGGATTTGGTTTGATCATAAGCTTACCTTAAGTCCATTATTTTGCACTATATATCTCAAGAAAACCCTCGTTAATCATGATCAAATCGCCAAAGTTTCATTGAACATTGCGATGATTTCGATAGAGTTCTCTCCAGTAGCCCTATCCACAAAAGTTCTTAGTATAATAGAAGCTTCTAAATAGCTTTAATAGTGCTGTCTGCTCTTTGAATCGCCTTCTCCTCCACCAATGTACCAGGCAGCTGAAATGTACAATGTGATCTACCTTGGTCTGCCTTGAGAGCTGGGGTTGGCGGGGATAGAGGAAGGGTCGATAGGGGAGGGGTGTCATGGACTGAGAGATAAAAAATTGGAGTCAAATTTGCTCACCATTGAGACGATGTGTTATAAACTCAAAAATGCTCTGCTACTTTGGAGCAAACACCATTAGATAGGTGAATATAAGGGTATGTGGACATGTTTGAGGGGGGGGAGGGGGGTGGTTAGGGGTTGCAATGCTGCCTAACTTTGGCTCCCGTGTGACTAGAAAATCTCGTTGTTGTTGTTTTTTTTTTCATAGAAATCATGTGCTGGGAACCCCGGATTACACGAGTTACCAGCACTTTAGGGCTCCCTTTAAGTTTCTTAGAGTATAGCCTTCTGTAGTTTGCACTAACTGTAACAGACATTATTTGTTACAGCATGTTATGACCCCCCTGCATACTGCATCTCCTAGGGTGCTAACCATTAACTTTTTTGCACGTAGGATTTGCGAGAAAATTTCCTTCACGGTTTTGATATCATTGATCTTAGAATTGAAAAGAATTCAGGTAAGTTTTATTGGTGCCAGAAGTAATGTGTTAGTTCACTATTCATGTATGGCTCTAGTTTTTACTGTATAACTGAGGATGTGCCCAACTTTGGAATATGCTAGAGGTATAAACTTAAAAAAAAACATGCAGATGACCCTTCACGTGGAACTGGTGTAGTTCAAATGGAATTAGTTTGATTTTTGTTGTTGCCTTGATCATTATGAATTTCCTTTTATGATCATGGGCAATTTGTTACATGATAAAGGAAAGTAAGAAGCAAACTTCAGATAGATTGACACCATTTTAACCCATTCACTCCTGGAGATTTTGCTGAAAAATGCATTTTGAAGCTAGTCGAGTGGTTTTCTGGTCACTGTCGTGCTATAAAGAGCTAAAACTTATCACAAACCCGTTGACAGGTCGTGCACTTACCGGCCTTCTAATCCAGATGCAAAATATAAGCTTACGAAGTTCGGGCATGGGCAGAAAGCAAAATTTCGAGATAGTTTTAGGTTTAAAAGTGACACAGCAGACTTGACTTTTACTTTTCGCTTTCTCTCCTCCCCTCTTTTTTCCTCTTGCTGGACATTTAGTTAGGCTTTATTTTGGTGGGAAAAGTTTTTAAGAAAGCTTTTAGGATCTTAGGATTAGGTGAAAGGAAAGGTAGGTGGGCAGTGGAACAAGATTTTCATAGAAATTTTCAGGTCAATGTTACATGGCTTTTTGCCTTTTTCTCCAGTGTCCTTGACTGAATTGTGCTCATTCTGGTATGCTTTGAAAGATCTCTTCACTCTGCACAAGGTAGCGGACAAAGTTGTCCTTGACCATTAAAAAAAGCTGATGTCACAGGCGGTAGAACGGACGTGGATCCACACAAGCGGTTACGGGCAGCTCAGGGGTGAATGGGTTAACCTTTAAAATTTTCTTTTGAACTACAACAGGACCACTTACCAAAATTAAAACATTTCCAAGTCACTGAGGCTGGAACCATTTAAAAGTGACTGCCAAATTTAGGTATTTTTGGAAGTCACATGATATAATAATTTTGAGTATTTGAGAGTTTCATGTCATATTCTTGCAGCATTTGTTCTTCTTGAAACATCTGATCAAGCTCTCAATGCCATAAACATTCTCAATGGACAAAGTTATCATGGATTCGTTGTTGGTGTGTGCCTTGCTCCCCCTAACAGCCTCCTCTTTGTTGGCAATCTACCATTTGAGTTCACAGAGGAGCAATTTCGGAACTTGATGAGCCCATTTGGACCGATAGAGAGGTTGTTGCTTGTACGCAGTATGTTCACTGGAGAAAGTAAAGGTTATGGCTTTGTAGACTACATCAACCGAGAGTCAGCAATGCAAGCGAAACAACAACTTATGAGTAAAGGTTCAAAGTATGTAGGTGGGCGGATATTGAGAGTTGATTTTGCCGATGGTAATCTCCTGACATATGAAGACTTGCATTCAAAAACATTATTTGTGGACAGACTCCCTCGGGACTTTACCAATGCAGATATGTTGAGAGAATTGTTCAGTCAGAGTGGAACAGTTACATTTGCTCAGGTGTGTGTGACTCTATGTACAGGATTACTGTAGAGCCCAACATTTTAATTGACTTTGCCCGTGAATGCGTCATTTTTCAGAGTAGAAATGCATTATCTTGTACAATTTCTGTACATAGATCGTTGATCTTCATCTGTTGAATTAATATGTTAGGTTGCAGTAAACAACCAAACGGGTGTGTCACGAGGATTTGCATTTGTTGATTATGTGACGGCAGAAGAAGCAGAGAGAGGACAGAAGTCTCACAATGGTGCTCTGCTAGAGGATTCAAATATCCGTGTGGCTTATGGTACTCCAGGTAGAACTGGCGCAAGCATACTAGGTGGTCATCATGGCGCAAGTATGGTATGAACAAATATCTGAATCATGCATAGATTTCACTATCATGCTTGTGTTTCTCTCGGTTCATTCTAGAATGTGTCACATTGATCGAATACAGTGTTGCTCATTGTAGTGTAATTGAACTGAACTGAACTAATTGATTTTTATTGTGTGCATCTTCCAAAAAGGGGTAGAGTATAGCAGGATTCTTTTTTTATTCTAATGTAGGTTTTATTTTATTTCATTTTATTTTATTTCAACTGTTGGTACCTTTGGCAGTTATTGGCAGATAACAGGAACAGTGTGAAGTCAATTACTGTTTTCCTGAAGCAGTCCTTGCAGCTGATTTTCCATGCTTCAGGAATTACGTGTACTATAAGGCAAATGATTCAAAACAACAGTAATGTTGAAATAATTGGAAATGAGTGGGCCAGGGAACATTACTGCATGGGTAACTTCAATTTTCTTTTATGTCTATTTGATTTTAGGGAAGCCAAGGTCCTCGCCCAAGAGGTCCTTTTTCAAATGTGCCTCAAGGCGCCGATGTGATGGGTCCTAGAGGACCACCCCCTCTTATGGCACCACGCCCCCTCATGGGAGCAGAGCTGTGGCAGCAAATGCCGAGAGGCCCTTTTGGAAAATCACCCAGACCACTTATGAGACCTGGGGCTGCGGTAAGGGTTTGTGTACAGTGGGTAGTTGTTTATTAGTTTGATTTGCTTTTACTTGCCTCTAGCAACAGTTGTACCTACATTGCTTTTGTATATAAATTTATGGATGTATATTTAAGATTATGGCAGTATCAAATTCTAAAAAAACTATTTTATTTTTCTTTCGATGACTTGTGGATATAGCAGAAAGCGCCTACTCCCTTTTTGTAGTTATTGCCCACAGTTCTTGTCTCTTTTAGTAAAAAAGTAATGTTTGAAATTAAACTTATTATTTTGTTTGAGGCAAGAACTGTGGAAAGTAGAAAATTATGGTCAAGACTTCCCAAATGAAGTATGCTTTTCTCTCAGACCAGATGAGAATTAACGCATAAAAGCACATAATTTGGTTTGAATGTTTCAAAAGCAGGAAAATGTACCTTTTACAGGTAAAAACTATGGTGTAATACAAGTTTGTGGATAGGTCATGTGCAGACAGTAATTTTTTTTCTAAATAAACATGAACAGTGTATTTTTATTTGCAGGGTCCAAGGCCCATGATGGGTAGAGCAAGAGGACCCTCCGCAGGTGGACCAAGGCACGCTCTGCTTGGTCATGGTCCCAGGCCCCTTCTGGGGAGGCCTGTGGGCCCCAGACCACTGATGAGACCTGCAGGTACAGTCAATCATGTAAACTTTGAGACAACAACTGCATAGTGATTCCATTGTATCAAAGTACATTATTCTCATACCCATGGCTGTCATTAAGAGATGGGGGCCAGGGATTTCCCCAGCTACTATAAATGTGACCCCTGGCTACTTTTATTGGAAAATAGAAGAAAAAATAATAGAACCAAAAGTAACCCCTAGCTTTTTAATTTCCCACCTACTTGTTGTTTTTACACAGCAACTTGGAATCTTGGTGACAACCCTGCATACCATCTATTGCCATCTATCATAAAAATTTCTTTTGATACATCTACCCTTAGGACAATTATGGTTTAAAATTTAGAATTTTTTCTTAGGCAATCATTTCCTATATTTTCAAATTATATGGCAATATTGTTATTTTTATGTCGCAATCAAGACTGCAGTCTATGAAGACAAATTCTAAGTAAGCTTAGTGCCCTGAACGGGGAAATTCCAGGGTACCCAGGATATAGTTTTTATGAAAAAAACTGTGATTCCCTGAGATCTCCTGTAAGCAGAAACAAGGTGCAATTAGGGGCCACCATGTCCTGACAATATACTTTTTTGTACAGGTCCTAGAGGCTTTGTTGGTATGGGTGTAGGAGGCCCCCCTGGAAGACCAATGGGACCAAGGGTTGCAGTAACCCAGCCACCACGACCATTAATGGACTTTGGAGATCAGACAGTGTTCTCCTCTCCTGACCAGATGCAGGTGTGTATCATACCAACTACATGTCTATACTTGCAAAAATGCAGGAGACACTGCAACTTATACTTAACCCTAAATGGTTTTCTTTTTGAGACTGCATGAGATTCATGCCTCTCCTACCCTTTTCAAGATTGCAAGGATTCCAAGATCCTTATATTATTTTGTAAGGATTTTGTGTTCAAGGTACATTTAAGTTACAGGTGTTTGGAAGGGTTTTGAAACAAAATTGTAAGTGTCTCAATCTTTGTGCAACTGTAGACATTGCTCACCTGAAATTTCTTCTGTTATTACTGTGCTTTCTTTAATAAATCCTCTACTGTATATTTTTCAAAACAACACCTTTTTTCTCTTTTATTAGGCAGTTACAGCTGTTGCCGAACCTCCTCAGCAGTATGCAGGTGATTCACTACCCACCTTGATGGGTGAAGCAGTCAATTCCTTCCCTCTGGCATCCGATCCAGCAGCATTTGGTCAGACAGTTCAAACAGCCATTGCTCAGCCACAGGAAGCATTTGTGCAACCGGCTCCACAACAGGGAATGATGGTTCCTTCTCAACCTCAACCTGGTACTAGACCAGCTGTCCCTCAAATGGTGGGTCTGGCAAAATTGTAGTTAATTCTTTCAGTCCAAGAGATAGAGATATAGATGGTGGGGACAGGGAGAGTAGTAACAAGGTAAAAAGTACAATTGCTTTCCCAACACTTTTGACCATGATTGTACAGCCCTTCAATTTAGAAGTAATTTTGTGTTGTTATAACTACTATTTATTTGGCATGTAGTTGTAACTTTCAAGGCTGTGGACAAAGTTTTGAAGGATGAAAAATTCTAAACAGAACTTTTCACATGCTGCCATATGTTTTGTTTACATTTCTAAATTTTGAGTCCTAAAGTGTGACCATTGACAAAACCTCTTCAGCTATAATTTTAAATCATTGATAAAATAGACATTATTTTTGTAAAAGGATGTTTTTCTTCCTCTTGAAAACCAGGTTCAAGTGCAGCCAATTCCTGGTACGCCACCTGTCGCCACTGGTACCTTGCCCACAGCAACTCAGACTCAAATGGCGGTAGTTCCTCAAGCGCAGCCATCAGTCTTGATGCCTACTCAACAACACATCCCAAATAATCAAGTACTATATGCTGCACCTGGCGCAATACCAGTACAGGGTGTGGTCCCTCAAGTGGTGGCACAGAATCCACTTCAGTACCAGCCTGGCATGGTAGCAACAACTCCTGGTGTTCCTGTTGCTGGACAAGTGGATGTTAATACAGCTTCATCGTATGGTGTACCTGCAGTACAACCAGTGGTAAGTGTCACGTACAGAAGGCCTTCCCTTGAATTCAGCACTGACATTATTATCCCTATGTCATTGATAGTTCCTCTTGTTTGATATAAATCTTTTCCTTGTAGACACAGGGAGACCCATCTGCTAATGCAACAGTCAGCTCTGGGTATGTTGTGATCTCGGCAGACTCAACCCAACAAAGTGGATTCTACACACCACAAGATGCCCAGTCTTACCCTGTGGTAACAATAATAATTATGCATTATCATTTTTTTGGCATTTTATACTGTCAAAATAGTAGCTTAAATATATGATGAAAACATTGTCCTACATGTAATAAGCAAAAATTAAAAACAAATTACATTTTTGTGGTAATGCTCAAGAAAGGACTGTATTTGTAATGGAAACATTTTGTTTATGAGGGTATTAACGAAGCACAATCATTAATAATTTTTATACTTGAAATTCAGGATGGTCTCCAGAATAATATGAAATGTCTGATTCTCAGTTTTGTTGTAGATGTTGATAATAACTTTCCTTTGTGGTGGAATTTCGAAGTAAATAATGTATATGTCTATGTTGTTGTTTTCAGCCCCAATTTACTTTGGCAGGACAGACTGCTGTACAACAGCCATTAGTCCAGATACCTGCCAGTGTCCCTTCAGGAACTGTACTGCAGGCTCAAGCACCATCCTCACAGCCTTCTGCTGTTCCCATGGTATCACCACAAACTCAACAATACCAGTGGTACCAACAGGTCACCCCTGTTGTCAGTAATCCAGCAGTGTCCACTCCGCAGTTGCTTCAAAACACCTCTTTTCAAGGTAGACAACAGCTCGCCGAAAGTATGCAAGTACTTTTGCTGTACTGTTATAGGCTGAGTTTTAACTTTGGAAAAATGGGAGTTCTTGAGACCTCAGAAGTGCTTCTTTATGGATCTTGCCTCAAACCAGCATATTACTAACACTCCAACCCTATTATATAATTTTTTTAAATTGGGCATAGATTATAGTGATTAAAATGGTTTGAAGAATGATTAGCAAATCTCGTGGCTTTTCTTCTTACAAGAGAAAGCTATAAGAAGCTCTAGCTTTGTGAGCCATCATAATTTCTATGGCTTGTGAAAAGAGAAAGTTATTTAAGCTCTTGCTTTCTCAGCCATCGGCTATCTTTGGCTTATCTAGCCTGCGAGCAAGCTCTCTGGGGCGCTCTGTTGGCCGGGCGGTAAAAGGAAGGAGAGCTTTCAACTACGTCTCTAGCATTTGAATATCTGCATTGAAAAAGTCAATGCAAAATGCCGATTGGCAGAGATGACATTAGTAATGACGTCAGTACCCTTGGCTCGTGTTTTTCAATGTTTGTTTACATTCTTGCTCATTTCCACTTTGTGCTGATTGGCAGAAATCTGACAGCTCAGTCGACGGAGAGCCACAGGGAAATGGAATTCAAATTCCAGAGACAGTTGCAAGCTCTCCTTCCTTTTCCCGCCCCGCCGCCAGAGCGCCCCAGAGAGCTTGCTCACAGGCTATGGCTTGTCAATGAATGACAACATTATTTTTGGTTGTCATCAGCAGACTCAAAAGTTTGAACTACATCTCATCTAAGGTCCAAAGAAATTATTAAGCATACTTGCTAATACTAAAAATAAAACATTGTTTACGTCTTTAGGAGGGACCCAGTGGCCTCAAGGGGAACAAGTGGCCATGCCACAACCTTTAATGACTGTCCAACCTGGCACTGTTTATGGACAGTACCCACAACAGACTCCACAGTATCAGATACAGCAACCACAGCAGACAGCAGCAGTGCCATCAGTTGATACAGTGGTTTATTATCAACAACCACAGGTATAGATGTGGATGTTACTGCATTTCTTGGGAAATGTGCAAGATTTTTTGCGATTTGATGCGCATTTTCCTGAGCATTACTATAGTCACTGATTTTGAGCTAAGCTAAGATTTTTCATCAAGGATTAATAAAAACATAAAAAAGGATGAGGCCAAAATTCAGCCATCTTGCTTAAGCAAGCATGGTCAATTAAGTAGGAAATCTGCAGTGGCCAATCAGAGCGTATGATTCACTTCACTTCATAAATGTGGATTCTATTTATTTAATCACTTCCACCATATGGTGTGGAACACATAACGAAGTGGGGCTCCAATTTAATTGTGTTCTTACAGATAACCCACCCAACCCAGGAGAGGTTGGCCACACCACCGGGGTCTACGTACCGCGTCCTCTACTCTTTTCAAACAATGGTGTGGGTTCGTTTACATCCCACAAGAACCAGATAAGTGAAAGTGCTGTGAGGTGGAACCTACAGTTTTTCAACCTTATCCATAAAGACTAGAAAGTCTAACCGTTTGCAGGTGTCATTGCAAAGGCAGCTTTTTCTCCTCAGTTATTTTTCAGACCCTGAGTGTTGGTTCGGCGAGGGTTTCAACCCACGACCTCCAACTCAGCAGTCCGACGCTCTGCCAACTGAGCTAACCAGCTAACTAATATTGTAAACATCTATTCCATATTCAATAGATGCAACCACAACAACAGCAGCAACAGCAGCCAGGTGTGATACCCAATCTGATGGATACTGCACCAGGAGCTCCACAGCCAGGGTTCCCTTCCGTTACCCTAGCAACAGGAGTCCCTACTAATACGCTTCCTATGTTCCCTAATGCCAGTGTAGCACCTCAACATTCTGCCCCTCCGGTGGTGTACAATAGTGCACAAGCATCACAGCTGGTGAGTAAAAGAAGGCAAAACTGTCCAGTACTCAGATTGGCAACTGTGCTGGATTGTTTCAGTATTATTCCAAACATTTAAGGAGGGCAGCAAGGCAGAAGACCAGGGGCCCTTTTCTCGAAATTCCTGGTAGTAAATTTTTATGCCTGTAGATGCAAAACCCTTTCAATTTTTAATAGTAGCAAAAGGAAAAAAAATATATTGATTTTGTCTTGTAAAATCTTACGAAATAAATAGTAGCGAGCAAACATTCTGCCAAAATGGTTTTATTTCCATACGATTTCATCCACAGATTTGAAAGTAAGGCCTCACCACAACCTAGAATGATATCCTCTCTGGCCATAACGTGGTCCAAGAGTGAAACGGTTGAAGGAAAGCTAATGAGTTCTAAAATGTCTGGTTTTATCCTAAAATTCAAACACTAAAATCTGATTTGCTAACTTAGTATAATGTCATGACGTGAATTCCAATGTCAATTGCTTTTTAAATCTTTAATGCAAACATCACGCTTACTTGATACGGAGCTAGAAAAGTTTGGGAGGTTTTGGGAAACGGGCTCCTGATGAGAAGCAGCTTAGAGACATCCTTCAAGGAATTTCAGTAATATTTTCCTTAATTTTAAAGCTGATAATGCAAAAATAATGAACATCTGATGCTTTACAAAGGTTGCCGGACCAGGTGGGCCTCCACAGTTGAGTCAGAAGAGAGCTGCTGATGGAGATCCTGGACAGCAAGGACCAGCCAGCTTCTATGATGCTAACAAACGACTGCGATTCTAGGAGTGGTGACAGTGAATAATAATTCTTCATATAAGCCAATTCCATAATGTATTTTCTTGTCATGTCATGTATTGAGCCATAGGTCATGATAATAGCGATATTTTAAAGTCATACGTAGTACTGATAAGCCCTTACAAGTTAATTCGTCAAGTACTTAGATGCCTATGTAAACAGAAACCAAGGGTCCAAGCCACATGTTTTCTTACTGAACTATTGCTTGGTCATCTCTCCATTACCCTTGAATCTCATATTCTAGTACAAATATACCGTAAAATTCCGAAAATAAGCCCCTCCAAATATAAGCCCCCCAAACCGGTAACGCCAAAAACCCTCCGTTAAATCGCCCCTCCAAATATAAGCCCCCCGGGGGCTTATACTTGGAAAATTGCCCGCAAATACAAAGTAAAACAAAGCAAAAACGGTAAATTTACTTCCAACTATATGGCTAGCCCAATCGATTTTGAAACGCAAATTTCCCTCCGTAAATAAGCCCCTCCAAAAATAAGCCCCTCAAAAAGGGCCTTTGAAAAATATAAGCCCCGGGGCCTATTTTCGGAATTTCACGGTACTCCCTTTCCTATTTCTCACAGAATTAATACGTTTTTGTAAGCATTAGTGTATAAAAACCAAGAGACTCATCAACTTTTAGGGTGTTCACTTCGGCTAAAGTATCTTTATTTGTTATAACCACATCATAACAAGTTTAATACGACACTAACCACTACTGAATCTTCAAAGTTACGAGGTCATTAACCTCTCAAGCTCATGGATACTTAATGAAGAGAAAACAAACGAAATCAAACGGTGTGCGAAATTTTGCTTAAATTTCCTTTAAGAGTTATTGATCATTTGACAAGTTGTGTTAAACACAAGACTCAATGTTTCATCTAGTAACCATATGTTCCAAAGTCTGTTTTAAAAAATTGTGCTGCGACTGCGGCTGTACTACATCAAACACGAGAGAGAAAGTTTCGTTTGTTTTCTCCTCGTGAATTACTGATGGTTTAAAGAAAACCAGTCGATGAATACTTCACATACTGTAAGAAAGCTGGCTGCTTTTAGTTAGTTGCTTGTCTAAATACTACATGTAGCTGAATTAAATAGCAACTAGTCGGTCGTATCAGACAGATAAACACTTGTTTTCCAAGTCTTATTAGAGCAGTTTTCTAGTGTTGGAAGTCGTTTTACGTGTTGTTTGTTTTTGCTCAATTACACTTGTCCAGTCGCCTTAACATTTTGCGCCACTCTTTCTAAGGTTTAGAGCCAGCTTCTTGAACTTGATCCAGCTTCTATCGGTACACTTAATTACATGCAAGCACTGGGTTATTACGAGAGATTACTCTGGATGTACAACACTTTTACATTTCAAAATCGCTCTAATACGTAGTATTCAATGCTAAAATGATATTGCCCCTACTTAAATGATTCATTTGCTCTTAGGCTAAGTACCGTTTTACTCGTGTTTTAAATTTTATTTTTCATTGTACCAAACTGATTATCATTCATTACCATACCAAGCAGCAAAGAAAAAAAGGTTTTTTGCTAAGGACATGGATGAACCACGACGGTAAGCACTTAATAACGAAAAATGTGCTTGAAATAAGAGGAATAACATTATTTGTGTACTGAGAAAAAGCTTCATGGAGTTGTTACCGTCAATGCCCCCCCACCGATTATGAGGTTATGTTAACATGTTACAACTTAATGTAGAACCATTACCATTAGCCTGCGAAAACATCCGTTTCTCCTCGCTCTTCGCCACAGGGGAAGTTTCGCGTGGAGAAACGTCGGCGACTCAGCGACAGAAATTCCATACTGATGACGTAAAATCTGTCCGGAATCCGGTCAGAAGCGCTGACTGGCCGACGGAGTAGTTACATTGTTTTAGCTATTGTTTAAGAATGACAGATATAATACAAAAGGCCACAAAGGTCAAATGTAAACGCGAAGAATCTCTAACAAAACAGTCAATATTTGTAGAATATAGTGTTCTCTAGAAGAAGAATTTGAGTTTTGCTGGAGCTCGTTGGCTCATGAACACAACACTTTACCAAAATCGACCAGAAGACACGTAGAATTCAGAAAATTGGACAATATTATATTTGGAATCCCATAATTAAAAGTTTATCATGTAAACTTGTAATTTGCGTCATCAGTATGGAATTTCTGCCGCTGAGTCGCAGACGTTCCTCCTCGCGAAAGTCCCCACCGGCGAAGAGCGAGGAGAAACGGATGTTTTCGCAGGCTACATTACCATGATAATTCATGTAACAATTAAGAGCTCTTTTCAATCGACTATCGAAGTCGTAGTTTTTATCTCTTGAGATTCAATTACTGTCCCACGTGATTGGCTGAAAAATCTCGCGCCACTCCCTCAACCAATCAGAAGTAAGGCAAAACCAACGGTGACTTTGTCCCGCATGCGCCTTCCCGCGCTTGATACCGGCTATGTATTTTTCCACTGGCACTGGGTGAATGCACTTTCTTCCTTAGTTTTGATTGGTCATTGGATTGGCGTTTGTTGTGAATGGTTCTAGTTTTACAACACGTGATTGAAAGCCACGTGGTTATATACCCACAAAATGTTTTACAAAGAACACGACCTCTAGTTGCAGGATGGATAGTGTTATTGGTGTACCATCTTTTTCGTTGTAATGTAATGTGACCATTATATGACAGTAAACACTTTACTTGTTTAACTAAAAAGGGAAATTTCCATGAGATCATAGTCATAGACCATGCAAGTGTGTAGCAGTAATCATGTAATACCCATGCCAAATAAACAAATCAACCTTCGTCCAGATGCCAATTCTCTGACAACAAGAGAAATTAACATGTTTACGCCCAAGTACATGGGAATACACGAAAAACAAGACCAGAGACATGTAATTTTTAGTAATCAACTCTTTCAAACACGGGCACTACTTGAACCAGCCTTAAGTGTCCGTGTTAGGGAAATGTCGACTTCTTGGAGTCAAAGACAGGAACTGAATAACGTCGGAGTCTAAGGCTAGGTTTTCGCTAAAGTGAGATGGCTCCAGGGGTTAGCTAACTGTATACCTTGTCCAGCCAAACGAGATATCACTGATTCATTGATTGTTCCTTACTAAAAAATAGTGGGATAATGATGAGGGTTCTCAAGTGCTGGACATTACGAAACGGTGAAAGTCACGATTTGGGGGGTTTTGACGATACATATGAAAACTTATCGTAGAGTTCATGACATGCTTTTATTTCTTTAATGTCTTTTTAAAAGGTTTATACAAAACCTTGAAAGAGAACATCCCGCCAATATTTCTCTCTCCTGAAATTACGCCTCAGAAAAGCCTTTCAACAATACAAGCTCAGCGCTTAGGAAATTCTTAGCATTTCTATATTGCCTGTTTCTTACAAGTCCCCCACATCTGCCTATGAGCTCATTTTGTGGGTTGCTCATGCTAGTTTATTGAACACGTCATTTCCACTACATTAAGTAATTTTTATGGAGGGAAACCAAGTATTTTTTTATAACATCAATAATAAATCACAATATAGCATTAGCACTTAGTGCAAGTGGCAGTTGAAAGGTAGGTGATGGAGACCTTCATGAACCGACAACTTGAAAGTTTACATGGGAGAATGCACCATAGCTTCCCACAAATGAGTATTCTCGCGATCATGTTCCTGGATAAACTTGCTGTAGTGCTGATGGTGACAATTAATTAGGGTCCAATCTGGCATTAACGACCAAATCGGGTTGAAAAAGTTTAACAATATCTATTACAAAAAGACTGAAGGCCAGTTTCTATTACCCAGCTTTTATCCTGCAACGTCTACCATCTCCCAACGCAAAAAGCTTTCCTTGTAGATTTCTAACCTTATGTGGCTCTGCATATTGATATCCAACCCTTGTCGCCTTCTGTCATTGACACCGCCTTCCTTGATGTGAAAACCGTCGAACCTTGTATGTCCACATCGTGTTTGATCAAAGAACCACGATACATGTTCTGCTTAGTTCCCCGCCACCCCACCCCCCCCCCCCCCCCCCCCCCGGCGGGGGGCGGCCCCCCCCTCCCCTCCTCGCGCTCTTCTTCCCCCCCCCCCCCCCCCCCCCACACCATAGACGCTTTTCAAGACATCTTTTTACATTTTCCCACCGCGCTCAAACACGCGGACTAGAAAATGCCCCAACCCAACACAACAACAAAGAAAAAAAAAGAAAAAAAAAGAAAAAATTGGTGTCTCTTTATATTCCTTCCCCCCCCTCGCCCCTCTCTGTTTTCCTCCCCCCCCCTCGGTTTGAAAAACCCCCAGCCTCTTTTTTCCCCCCAGTGTTTTTGAAAAAAAACCCCCCACCCTTTTTTCTTTTTTTCCCCCCCCCCCCCCCCCCCCCCCCCCCCCCCCCATCTGGGTTGGAAAGATCCATCATCATTGTCCTGGGGTCTTTCTACCCCCCCTCCAATTCCCTCCGAAATATTAGCGATTTTCTAAGAATTTTTGCAAATTTTCAAGCGTGCGTAACAAGGGCAGATGCACAGAGGCCCCAACATTACAATAGAATTACGAAAAATAAAGAAAATAATAGTAATATAAGTTTGTCACTGAGGCACGTTTTGTAGCGGCCCTTATAACGAGCTGTCAGCGGGTGCGAGGTCTGGAACCGAGAATTTTACAGGAGTTCATTAGACGGTTGGAATACTTGTCACAAACCCCTCGAAATTCTCTATTTTCATCGGCCTATGTAAACACCTCTGCTACTGTATTTAGAGCTAGGGACATTGGGGCATTCGTCTATTGTTTCGTTAGCTTATTTAACAATCCCTTCTGAGAACTTCGTAGTTGTAGCCTGTGTGGCAGGTGCCAATTGGATTTTTTTTTTAGATTTTAATTATCGTGCGTCCTCGAAATTTTTCCCTAAAAAACCCTGCCTGCTAAGCAGGCTACGAAGTTGGAGTGGCAGTAAAACCTTCGAAGGGGTTGTTCTGAAGTCAGATCATGTTATTATTGTTATCGATTTTTGAAAGGTTTGTTTTCTCTGAGCCTAACTTGAACCTAAGTAAACTGTAACCTAAATGTGTGCATGGCTGGGGGCGAAAGCTTCCCAAGACTGCTTGTTCCGCGTAAGAGTGGGTAAGATGTAGGTTGCTTTGTTCCTTTGGTTCACTGCTTATCAGAGATTACTTCCAGCGTTGGTTAGATCACTGAGTCCTTCTTTTCGTCTTCACGGTTAAGCTTAAAAAATCATTTCTTTTTCATTTATTTCAGAGACAAGTATTGGATGCTGGCGTGAAGGATGGGTATTTTTTTTGCTTTTTTTTTTTCTTCTTTGCAGTTTCTTCAATAAAACTCTAACATGAACAAGGAATATTAAGTGTCATTTTTTATCTGTGTACCTATCGTTGGCTTTTGATCGTATTCTCGAAGTATGAGAGATGCTAACTAGTCCTTCATTAGCCCGTACATTGTAGGCCTTTTTCAGTCGGGTCTGGTCCAGTGTAAATTGTGACGACGCTGGGTTAAGCAAAAAAGGCCTGATACACGCAAGCATGCGCACTGGCAGGGTAGGCGCGTGATCGAACCAGAAAGACGGACGAAACTACAGGCCTGGTGAAAGAGTTAAGCTATGCCAACCATTACCACTGTGGAAACTATTTTGTTGACTTTGAGGCGATTGCGTACACAATTTCTGTTGGTCAATTTCCCTTTTTTCTTCAATTCTCCGGTCAATAGTTTCTTATAGAGCAAATAATCCTAAACCCACATCAGATTTTATTGGCCAAGATGACGAAGTTGCGGGGAAGCGTCATTGGGTTTCAGTAATTATGCTAAACTGAAAAACAGCTTCACTGTTTGCGTTGCGACAGATGGTAACGCGCGCATTTTACGCGAAGCGCCGGTTTCTACACTCCATCTGGCAAGTCAGTACCCTCTCAAGATAGCAGGTAACTAGGGAAGTTCGTTCTATAGCCTGCATGACATATCCAATTTCGAAATGCGGGATGTACTCTTGTAATCTTGTAAAGTAGTTCTATCTTTTGAGTCTGTGGACGAAATCCTGTAGTGTGACCATTCAATTGAAAGCTACTGAGTAGCACTTTCCTGTGGTACTGTTTATTATACTGTACAGGGTGGTTTAAACTTTAAGTCCATGGATGAAATCCTAAAGTGTGACAATTCAAATGAAAGCTACTGTGCAGTACTTTTCGGTAGTACTGTTTTTTCGTGATTTACAAGCAGGTAGTTTCAAAAGGTAGTTCTAACTTATGAGTCTGTAGACGAAATCTTATGGCGTATGGTGTGACCATTCAAATGAAATTGAGCTACTGAGCAGTACTTTCCTGTTTCACTGTTTATTATACCGGTAGAAGGAGGTTTTTAAAGGTTTGTGAACCGAGTCTTTTAGAGTCAGTGGCCATATATCAGGGGCACCTAACGAGAATATAGTTCAAAACCACTCAAACATAGCATTGTTAAACGTATTTAAGTATTTAAACGGTAGATATGGGCATATTTTCATCTCCTAAAAATTTTTCATCTGTTCGGATTTCCTAGCTGAAAGTCTAGTGGTCCGAAAATTATAGGGATCAAAACTTGCCTTTTCGAAAATTTCAGCCAGAAAAAAGGCTCCCGAAAATTCTAGGTAACCTTTTTAAGGTGAAAATTCGTTAAAAATGGGCAATTATGCCATTTTTTAGAAGCTCGAAAATCCTAGGAGAGGCATGCAAGCAAGAAATTTTACAACAAATGCTCCGAAAATTCTAGATCTCAAATTGTCTTCCCAACAGATACTTTCCGAAAATTGACGTTGGGTGCCCCTGATATATAAACCATTTTTTAACAATATAATAAAGGTCCACCAAGACACTGCTGGACATCCGTGCAATCGAAAATCTTTTTTTTTTTTTTTTGCAAAAGATCTAGAGGGCCTGTAAACTTATTGCGGTGAAACTTTATCATAAATGTACTTGCTTATCTTCGGTTATGTTGATCTTGCTAGTATTTTGTGGACATCAGAATGCGGTAAAAAATATACGAAAAATTTTATTCCGTGTTTTCTCATTATTTAACATGGCGGACCGTGATTCGCTGTGAATGTGAAAGTGTGTTCTGATTGGCCGGTGTGGTTAAGAAGGTTGTGTAAACAATCTATTTGAAAAAGCTAAAGAGATATCATGGATATTGGACTTTAAGTTTGTTCTTTCAATTTATTTCTTTCCTGTGAATCGTGACCACTTTTCGGTTGATAAAACACGCCCTTAAAAATCACTTCCCAGGTCAATGAAAGCTTAGGCAAGAATTAATGTTCTAACACGCCTTTTCAGTCGGGGAAAGAAATGATATAAAGCCTCTTTAGAAATACTTAAAGTAAGGAAATGATTTGTCGGTATTTAACGGTGTAGCATTTGGCATGATTCCTGAAATAACGATCTTTGACTTTTGGGTCTGTAAAGGGAGTTAAAGTACTGAATAATCTATTTACACAAGCGTAGTAAATGACGTGGTTTAATCACGACATGTACAAATCATTCTGACTAGCTTTTAGGGAAAAAAACGAGAAACAAAATAAGGGAACTTGTGGAAAGAAATTTCTAAAATCTGGGCCTAATGAAAGCAAATTAACAGTTATTTTTGGAAAAAAAGCAAATAGGCGAGCTATTAATATGTTCAGTTCAGTTAAGGTTCACCAATCAAATGTGGCTTCATGCACGTACTTTGCTCTCTTTTTTTAATTGTCACTTCAGCTGATACCTTGGGGCTAATTTCAAGGGCTAATTGTCGCTTGAAAACAACGCTCTTTTGTGATGTGCAAATGATGTGCTCCTTATTCACGGCTGAGGACAAAGACAAGTAATCTCAGACTTTTGAAAGTGTTGTTTGCAAGTACATTTGCTAGACGGTCATTAAAAAGTGATTATATTATCGAGAGTATGACGTCTCCAGAGAATTTAAAGTAATGAAGAGTCAGTTCAAAGCGATATCATTACACACTGATTGTTGACATTAAACAAACAACACGTTTTGGATTCCTTTTATGCGGATATTTCAGGCGACGTGGATTTTGAAACGGATTTAAAGCAAAGATTTCACTAGGGAGACGATGACAAAGTCAACAACAGCTGCGATCAGCTTTACATTATTTTGACAGAAGAATTGAAGGAAAAGGATAGTCAACAGAAGGTCAGTGAAGGTATACTGCACGATACTGCAAGATACAACTGTACAAGACTTTTGTCAGTTGTAGTGTTGCGACAGGATTACAGAACACGTTGTTCAACAGTTTTCAAGTTTTCAGATCATGTTTTAAGAAAACTCATGTCTCTGCCCTGCCTTCACCAAGCTGTTTCTACAGGCAGACTGCATCAGATTCGTTTGTTGCTAGACATTGGTGTAAAGCCAACATTAGTGGACAATCAGGGTCGTACGCCGCTCATGACGGCAGCTTGTATGACAAAAGAGACGATTGCGCTACGGATATCGCGCTTGCTGTTGAGTCGCGGTGCGCTTACGGAGTGCGTGGATAACCAGGGTAGAACGGCGTTATCTTACGCCTGTGAAAATGGACACTGTAAACTGGTTAAGCTGCTCATAGACGCTGATTACGATATCAACATGCCGGACAAAGAAGGCAATACGCCCCTCATGTACGCGGCCATATCGGGTAATGTGGCCACTCTGCGTGAGATATTATGCGTGGTACTCAAATACAGACTTAGCGTGGATTTGAGAAATAAGAAAGGCTTCTCTGCTTATCTGTTAGCTGCGAAAATGGCACACAGCGAATGTGCCAGGATTTTAAAGACAGAAGGAAATGCCTCCGATTGCGTCCGGGACACGGAGTATTTCTTGAGTGACAAGGAATGGGCAAAAAGAATGAAAAGAAATCTTAACAGAGACAAGAACAGCAAAACGGTTCAAAAGATAGACAGCCGGACTCGTCCAAATACGTCATTTGAACTGCGTCGCACTAACAAACTTGCTGAAGGTTCTCGCAACCCTAGGGCAATATCCCGACTTACCACCCGCAGTGAGCCCGGGGTGATGGTACGAAGGAGCGGATTGGTAAACACTTGGGTACCCTGTTCAGAAGAACATTCGCAAAATGAACAAACATTACGCGGCACTAGCCCTTCCTCGGTATCTTCCAGCAGCCGACAAAGCACTATTCCACGGGTGGTTCGAACCTTAACACCCGACTTACACGCCATATTTAGTCAGTATGTTCTCATTGACAACAGGCCAGCGGTTACTGTGGCAGACCGCAGGATGCCCTATGCTACCAAACACGAAGAGACGCGAGTGCCGTCTAAACCTGCGTCAAGAAATTCTCGAATGAGTGTTTCGATAAAGAAAAAAGTATCTATCCTCAGATAACGAGACCAATTCTTCCAGATAAATGTCTTCGATCCTTTAGGTCAGCGCCAAGGATTGAGACGTCCCGATCCATTGCGCTGAGCGAAAAGACACTCCGTCTTGGGACGAGAATGATAGCAGAAAATCATCACTTCGTTTTCCAGTTATCTATAGAACGCTCCAACATACATTTTGACTACTCTCGCTCCAGAACCGGTCTTTCCGTTTTGTCACGTGATCGTTCTCTTCAAATGAAGCTGAGGAGTTCTGTGATCCTGCGCTCAATGTCGTCACCAGGTATTACGACTCTTCTAGTCAAGCGCAGTAGAGAAAGTCTGGAATTGAGAATATTTGACTGGGCACAGTGTCTGTCAACAAGATGTACAGTGCATGGCTTATGTTATTGAAAGTGTGTGCGTGTGTAAATACTGATTTGAACAACAAAGTGCGGTCTTGGCGTGATGTGGAATATTTTTAACAGACTTTTCTTAAAATAAATTGCCTAAAAAAGAATATGCACGTGAATGATTGATTCTTCATAATTGCATTTTTTTCAGATCACTTTGATACAGCTGCATAGGCGAAGTAAGAGAATCCAAGACAGCCGTACTCTTGGATTTTGGACTTCGCCGTCGATTCCGGATTATAGTTACAGGATTATTCAGAATTCTTTGTCGGTGAAACTTGGATTCCGGATTTCAATCTTTAGCTGCATTTCAGATTCCTAGGCTTTAATAGGATTTTGGATTCCACAAGCAAAAATTTCCCGGATCCCGCAAACCGGATTCCCTTTAGAGGCGAATATTTTGTGTAGGCTCGGTCGGCCTCAATGTGAGAAATTACAAGGAACCCTGTTTTGTCCTTAAATAAGACAATGTTTATTGTGCACCAGAGTTATACAATATTTTTCTAGGTTAAGTCAAAAACTGAAACTCACTTGTGACGTGAACTAAGCCCTTAATTCAGTTATCACAACAAAAATCTATTTAACGATAGTCAAAAAGGCCCCTCAAATAGAAAGAGCTGCCGTTTGTTGTAGTGCTCCTTTTTTATTTGGCCTTGTTGCTGCAAGGCTTTACCATGGCATCAATCAATGATTTCATCTTCTGCAGTGGGTTAGCCAAACGACCCTCTGCCACATCCTTCAGCAGTTGCAATCCAACTTTTCGCCCTTGTGGAGAACACATTGCTTTGCGCCAGACGTTCAGCAGCCATCCCTTTGATACACTGTTTGCAGTGCGAAACACGTTTATTGCCAAAATTACACGATTTTGAGCAAGGGTGATGTCCCAAATGAAGGGAGCTATGTCCCATGTTTTCAAGACTCTCTGTGGCAGCGATGCCTGCTGTTCTGCAGTTTCGTTGAGATTGGTTTGAAAGTGTGTAGCTGCAATGAACTCCACCAGTAGTGCCCAGCCCTCTCCGAAGTTCTGCTCAGGTTTTGACAGCAGGCCGACCTCTTCTTTGAAAAGGGGAAGCGCTGAAGAATATATTCAAATTCATAAGTTATAGGCGCGGCCAGTAACTTATCACCAAGAAAAATCAGCTACCAGCAAGTGTCACAGCCTTTTTTTAGACTCAGTTACCGAGGTTTTTCTTTATTTTTCACAATAGTTCGCATAATATCCAAACATATATGGCAGTTGATCCTCAGCGCGGGAGGATCATCGCCTTAGCTTAATTAAGTTCTCACTTATAGATAGTCTTTTTCAAAGAAGTTAAACATAAGCAGCTTGCGCGGATGGCGTTTGAGAGAGGAGAAAAAGGTTGAGACGGAATCCATCAGGAAATTGAATAATCTTACTTTTCAGTGGACAGAAATCTTGTACCAGAATAATTTAAAGCATATTGCATTCTTTTTCACATTTTTCAAGGACTAAAGCTGTAATTTCGTCATCTGTAATAACACCAAAGTAAATTTCTCATGGGAGGCCCAGAAAATAAATGTCAAATTTCACAAAATGACATTTTAAACATGAAATTTTTAGAATTTTACCTGTGTTTTCACAATTCTTGTGAAATTTGACCTTCATTTTCTCGGACTCCCATGCGAAATTTTCTTTGGTGTTATTACAGATGACAAATTACATCTTTTATATAATAGTCCTTGAAAAATGTAAAAAAGAATGCAATATTCTTTAAATTATTCTGGTACAAGGTTTTTGTCCACTGAAAATTAAAATTACTCAATTTCCTGGTAGATTCCGTCTTAATCTTGACTAGAGGGCCAAGGGTGGGAGAAGGAAGGAAGTTTACTTTTGTCATCCTTCCTCACGCGACCATCACGTTCTTTCTCGGCAATCGCGTTGTCGCATGCATTTAATGCCCCCCTCTCGTTCACTGCCGCCTCTCAGGCCATGTATTAAACCAGTCTTTGTGCTCAACATTTTTATCGATTTCACCCGCCGTTGTTGGAAATTTTACTTTGCTCTAGCTGATTGTCTGAGAGATATTTTGACAGAAAGGATAAAACTATAAACTGCTGGGGAGCGTGGAGACCTGTGACAGTGCAGGCTTCATAAAGATCAACGCACTAACCAGGATGATAGGGTATTGCTGCAGTCAAAGCATAAAGTCACTAAAAGTTCCTTTTTTATCAAATTAGTTTGTACGGACTCGTAGAATCTTCGTAGTTTTATCATGGATAATAGAAAGAGGCCCTCTCTCTATTTTTTATAAGCTAGGCCCTGCGAGTTTGCCAAAATTAAGCGTTAATGGAAAATGGGTTGTGCTTGGGCGGTGCAGGTGTGTGACTCACCATGGTTGATGGACGTAGTGTGCGCTTTCCACATCAGTGCTACTGTGGCATCGTGATCGGATGATGAAGAAGCAACCTTAACTCGCGCGAAGAACTCTGTCCAGTCCTGTATCACCTCATCATGTTTTACTTTGCACTCTTCAACACTGGTACAGAACTTTTGCTCGACTTTGTCGCTCACGTTTGGTGGTTTATTGATGTGCAAGGAATAATTTAGCGGTGTGAATATCCCAGCATTCAAGGCTCCCAGGAAGGGAAGTACAGAGAGGTAGTAATTCATATCGGCCCACCAGCTGTTAGGAGATACGCAATACTCCCCACACCCAGCATTACCATGGTTACTCCTCATGTCACGAAGACGACCGGTTGTCTTTTGCCATCCGAACTGAAGCGGTAGTCCCCAGAGGAGATTCCCAGTGTTATTATACCCCCAGGAATCGAAGAACGGCTCCGTTTGTTTGATCATTAGCTTATAAACTCCCATTCTTTGAAGATAATTCCAAGGATCGATGACTGTCTTCTTTTGGCCGCTTATCTGTCCAACCGCGGGAAATTCAGCCCACGACCCAGGGGCATCCTGCCATCCCGGTGGATAATATATGGCCACAGATGATACAGGAATCATTAAGTGGTTTATTACCGCGTAGATAACCAGTAACAAAAGCGAGAGAAGCATGATTTCTTTTGTGTAGTGTTACTCTTGTTTTTTGCAGTCTTGATCAACTGTTGTAGCTGCGAAGAGAATGTAAATTAAATCGTTAACTGAGCGCAACAAATGTGAGGCCGTGCCTTACAGCTGGACAAACATCTAGAACTTGGGTAATTTGAGAGAGATCGATCGCTTCTATAGAAACAAGTAAGAACCAGCTTATATTGATTTAAAAAAATAATATTTTTTCTCTTACAAGGGGCAACGAAAAAAGAAAACTGCAGTCCTCAGAGTGGAAATAGCTTATTGCAGACAGCATTCGGACTTTAGGGGCCTAATGAGGCAGAGAACAGAGGGGACAAAAAGGGCTACAAAAAATTAGCCTTCTTTGTGCAGCTTATTGCACAAAAGTGTAATTATGAAATATAAATATAATTTGTAAATTCATAATCAGTGTGGCTTCTCCTTATCAGAATAAAATAAAATATTAGTGTGACCTGTAAAAAGATTTTCTGAATAGATTAGCAGATCGCAGAACTTTGAGTAAATGCTATTATCATTATTGTTACGAAATAAACTGCTTTACTTTTACGAATACTAGTTGAATATGATTTATGTCATATATACATATATTGATGCAAGCAAGTGGCACAGGGTTTGGGGTCAGTGGTACAGCAGGTGTGTGAGTTAAACATGGAAAGAGTTTCCGCCAAATTTCGTTCGAATTAAATTACTTGCCAATTCTCTGCGCGCGCCGTTTGTTATTAAAAACTGCGATTAATATCGAAAAGTGTCTCTTGCGAATGTTTACATTTCGAGGCTCTGACATTTTACTATTTATATTCGGAATTTTTTTCGGAATTGCCTATCACCATGCATTTGCTCCCACACCCAACACAAATTAGAATTAAATTTGTTATTAATCTTTTTCACTTATTGTGCCCCTCAGCAATGAATATATACTGTTCTACTCTGTTGTTGCTGCAAGGTGGTCAGCTCTCTTTAACAATAATTTACAAGCTTAGTTTGCTGGTGGTGCTTTGTGTTTATGTAACGCGATATTGGGTATCAATGATAAGGTGGTGAATCAAGTGAGATTTCCACTGGTCAGATTTTTTTTTCTGATGCCACATTCCTCTTAAACTGTACGTGGTTCCTCTTTTCCAGTCCCTAAAACTAGCATTTCATCAAAGAAAGGGGCAAAGATGAGAAACGCTGCAGTCCCTGGTATCGGTTTGAAGGAAAAAGCCAAAGACAAGGATTCCAAAAAGGCTAGTCAAAACACTTGTAAGTTTACGATTCCTCTACAAGTAGCCTTCCAGAGTTGACGCTTTTTTTCTGCTTTTGTTTCACACTCCAGCGTGTTAAACAAAGCCGAAAACGCAGAGTATGAGTTTCACAGTCCGGCTACTCCAAAATAATAGACGTTTTTTACTATGCCTCTCTGCTCTGGGATCTGAATGAAATAAATGTTACGGTCTTTTTGGCCCAGAGGAGGAATACAAGATCATGTTGTGAAAGGAAATGCAGTTGTAATGAAAATAAAATAAATAATACTCACATCAAAGTGTTTGATGCTAAGCGATACGGTGACTCGCCCGATGTGCTTAGTTCCCTGTCCTGTTTGTAATTACGTGATGTCACGAAGAGCGGGTGAGTAATAAGGCGAATAATACATATGGGACCGGTCATTATTTAGAGGGGAAGGGTGGTCTGAATTGTCTACATAAAGAGTGGGTGGGAGGGGGAGGGTCCGGGAAAAATATGCTTTACAACAGGACTGGACTGGTCAGGAGAATTTGAACAGGGCCTTCATCAGATTAGGGCAGTGAGCATACAACATGATTTCTCATGGTGTACAGTTAATAATCAGGGTCTATCAACTTGCCCTCTGCCTAAAAGTTTCATTTTTTTATTTACTTGTTCTAGGGAAAAAATATTCCGAGTCCACTACAATTGTACCAGCAAGGAAACAGACACATTCTTTTTCAACAAGTCCATTTATAGTTTATTGATGATAATGATAAAGAAAGAATAGATGTACATAGTTCACCATAGCCGGACACGTAAACCCCGAAAACCATTTTTGGAAAAAAATGGGGACCGTGTACCCCCAACCAGTGCTATGGTGCTGCCCTAGGGGTTTTAAGGCCTGTTAATGTGATATATATAAGCAAAAAAACCTTAAACTTTTAAAGGTACTTAGAAAATGCATCTTAAAGCTAAGGTACAAGTAACAACAAGCAAAGAAACGTTAGTTCGAGGAGTTCAGACGGCTGAGCTAGTGCGGCTAAATTACAGTTGCTCTTCTTAAACTCCCCAGCGGTGATATCCGCAAAAAGGCTGTTTACGCTCGCTATAAAATCTCTCAGGTTACGGCTTGCTCTTATATTATTCGATGTTTATTGAACCAATGTTAAGGTATGAAAGCTATAGTACTATACCGGTCCTTTCGATCACTACAGATAGTGGCTAGAATGTAAGGGGAGGGGATTGTCTCTAATCCGCTTTCCTAGTTCCTATATTTTCAGGTAGGCAAGTAAGTACAACTACGTAAGGAGAATAATGATTTATTTTAAAATTCTAATTCTTAGACAAATTCAGATCAGCCACAACATTTACCCAGAACCTCTGAAAATCTTCATGCATTAAAAGGTTATTGCTGGTTATGTTGCATGTTAAGCTGTGAATTAGCATCATTGGCATTAATTAAAGAAGAATTCAGAAGTTCCAAGTTTATTGTTCTGTGGAGAGCCTCACTTGTATGTAATCGAATTGGAAATTTTTATGTAACAAATTGCACACAAAAAATATTCTTGCCAATCGTAGGATATTGTCTTATTTTTCGTTTGCATCATGACTCTTATTTATCCTGTTTTTGCCTAAATACTGGTCTTTTATCTCGAAACTGATAATTAGAACAAAGCAAACTAAGTTGATTAATTAATAGTTCATCTTTGCTTAGTTTCCTTTGCATGTGGGCTTGTAGGGTCGCAGTAGGGTAGTGTACCATCCACATCCTTCCTCCAATATGATTTATGGACAAACCCAATAACACTCTTGTGCTGTAAGCTGTTGAGAGGAAAACAGGTTAGAAAAGATTTTTGTTTCATTTTTAAATAATGATCTCCCTGTCGACTGATTTACTTTGCTGGGATTTGAGCCTTACTTTTATCATGAAAGCGGGATGCCATCAATATTTATTTCCACTCACATATATTTTTTTTGGCTCGGCATGAAATCAAGCCGAAATCGATCAAATGGTCTTTTGAATCCAAAGTCCAGAATGAATTTCTGTTCAATTCTTCCTTTTCAGTTTGCCCCTTTAGGCAAAGCAGAGAAATCTAACGAGGGAGGCGATCAAGACCATGCCATGGGTTTAAACTACACGTTATTAAAGCCCAGTATTTCCTTGCTCCTTCCTTTGGGTTGCGTTTTCCCGTTGATGAAGGAAATCGATAAATGTTCTGTCACTTACCAGGTGAAGATGCCATGGCCAGTCTAACGGAGCTGTCGGCACTCTTCATTTGATTACAAAACTTCTCAAGAACATCGTTATCGTCATCATCGTAATCGTCGTCCTCGTCGTCGTCAGCATCATCGTCAGCATCATCGTCGACGTCTTAGTCGTCATCATCATTGTCACCATCATTGTCACCATCATTGTCACCATCATTCATTGTCATCGTCGTCGATTGGTCCTCCTCCTCACCATCATCGTTCCTATCATCATCATTATCGTCATCGCCATTGTCGAAATCATCATCATCATCATCATCATCATCATCATCATCGTCATCATCAGGGCAATCAGGGGTCAGTCGTCAGGCTGCCTAACTTGTTAACTTTCACTGCTCCTGCATAGATCACTCAAGAGAAGTCAAAAACAAGAGTTTAACTGATCTTATTATAAAAGCTTAGTTTTCTCTACGTGCTTAGTATTGGGTCAATGGTTTAATGAACCATAATAACAAAACAGCTAAGACAGAAGCGACTTGAGGTTTCCCGATATTTCAGATGTTCCAACCGTCTTATTTCTTCAGGAGATGTTATCAATAAACGGAAAGTCGTTACAAAGGGTCATATGAAAGCGGCACAGATCGAAATTTGATACAGGAGCTTAAAATTGCAAATAAACTTGGTTTTTAGGGATAAAACTTTAATGAAAACGATAAAACAAAACAATGGAGACAAAAAGGCAAAAAAGGCAAATAAATTTTAAAAATGCAACAAAACATTTAACATTTAATAGAAAGAATAAAATAAGTTAAACAGTAAAAGAATCATAATGATTATATCAAAAAGTCAAATATAAATTATATAACACAACAGTGATAGTAACAATTCTAATTATAATGATGTAAATAGGAAAGGAATTAAGTTAAAAGTAGCAACTAAAAAGTCTTTCTGAATATAGCGCCATTTTTGAAACGTTACTGCTTTAATGTTCTTGCAGTTACGTTTTCAAAAATAATCAAGATCCTTTTTTGTTGCCTTAATTAACCTCCTTTTCTATTGTTATTATCATTATCATAATCGTTATTATCATTGTCAGTGTTATATTACTATTATTTTTATTTTGTTATTTCTATAGCATATTTTACTTATTATTCTACTATTTTGGTTTATTTTTTCTTTTAATTATTTATTTATTTATTTTTTTTAAATTTTTTCTTTGTTCCATTTTTCACACTTATTTACCTTTTTGCCTATTTGCTTTTTGCTTCAAATTAATCTGCGAAGTGCCTCATTCTGCATGCTATCATAAAGTTTTATCCCAACTGACCTTTATTCATATCCCCTGGGAAAGAACGCCTAGAAAGTCCGAAGAACCAACAGAACTCAAGTCCCGTTTGTCTTTGCCGTTTTATTGTAATAGTTTATTAGTGTGACTTAATCAAAATAGCTCAATTAGAATATTGTGAGTTATCATCAGAGAAGTTTCAATGCGTTTCACCTATTATTGAAGAAGGACATGGATCGATTTATCATCGCATTTGACATCATCATCACCACTTTCGCCCTCGTGCTCGACATCATCATCATCATCGTAATCAATGCAACAGAGTGACGTCACTTCCGTCTTCTAGCCCTCTACACTATGACAGTCTCTCATCAGGTGGCAACTAAATCTCTCAGAACAAGGAATCAAAACTGAAGACAAAAGTGAACATTTTGACATAAAAAGATGGCGATATCGGTACTGCCTTTTCAGTAGTCGGCCGCGACTTTTGCAGTTTAAAGAATTGGTAATGGTACATGGAATTTAGATAGCACTTCCAAAAAACATTTCTCAGCACTTTACAAATCACTCATTTAGGTCAATTCATTCGATACAGAGCCTCCGGTTTGTATTTCCTCCGTTTTCGTAACAAAATTGCACATCTCAGAATTTTCTAACAGAGTTGGATCCAACGCTAGTTTCTTTTCAGCCTATTCTTTAGTTTTTTAGCACAAGATGGGCATAAACTTTGAATAATGTGCTGTTCTTGAACTTAATTCTCTTCATATTGTTTTTACGTATCGCCACAGGCTAGCTAGTTGCAATTGGTTGACCACGACGAGGCACGACGTCTGTTATTTGCCGACCTAAATACATGACATCTTAAGAACAACAGATTAATAGCATATCAAAGGAACATTTTTCCTTCGGCATCTGGAAATTTTTCTGACATATTTCACTCCTTTTGGTAGGCCTGGGTTCGAATCCCACAACACCTCGTATTTGCTCGCTATCATTAAACAACGTTCATGGGGAATTCCTTAGAAGGTGGGGATGCTTTCTAACTTAATGTGCAAACGTTTGTATAGAAGAGGCACCTTGAACTCAGGAAAATGCATTTGGAACACACTGAAACGGCTTGCGATTTGTCTCTTGGCCATCAGTTTCCGTTGTTTTTTAAAGTATCCTTTCCAGCCATCATGAACAGCTAAACAAAGTTTAAAAGTTTAAGATTCTAATTCCGGGAGCAAGTATCCTTCTTGTCCTTAATTTTGCAATAAGAGATCCCTTTAGGTTCACCAAACTTAAAACCAGGGACAAGAGGTATTTTTGGTATCACTTTTCATTCTTCTATACCGTTCTAATTTTTTTTAGTAAGGCTGGATTTATTTAGTTCATATTTTATTTTTTTCGTGACTTACCTACGGTCTACCGTCTCTGCTGGGTGGGTTCGCTCTGTCGTAACAGTTGAAGACTTCGTACTGCGTTTCTGCTGGCTGGCCATGCGCGTGCAATCGAGGTTTTCTGACCTAAATGCAAGGGCTATCATACAAGAAGATTGATTTAGAATACAAACATTACTTAGCTTTCCTTTGTCTATTACTGATAAATGCTGAACTGTATCTAATTTACTCCTTCTTGCGTCAGTGTCGGTAACAGTGACCTTATGGATTTTAATTTCATCAACATGACATTCATCTTTGTATAGATCTCAGTAGGGTGATCACCCGAATGAAATTCATGGGTTGAAATAATAATCAAAGGTTTTTTTAAATTTTTATTTTCAATAGTTTTAGAATATTCAATTGAACCGCATTTTATTTATTTTACATTTCTGGTACTTACCTGGGCTCTTGTAGGTAAGGTCACGTGTTCAATTCGATTTGTCAGCACTGGGCAGGTTAATACTTCAATAATTGCACAGACCTAAAAGAAAAGCTTCTAAAACAGATTATCAAAGCAAGAGAAATCAACTTGACAGTTCATTTAAAATCAAAGTCAAACTAGACAGCTTCTCTGGACATAGATCGATTTGCTTACTATTGAAGCAGTTTTTATGGGTTGGAGTCCCACTGGAGAAGAGGATTTACAAGTTCACGACTTTTGGAATGCATCATGGAGCACAATTGAGCGGTTCAAATCTTTCTTTGGCTCTGTAATCAAGCCTCACATTTAATTTGTTTTGTGTTTCTCTCCTTTAACATAGGTCAGGGTTAAGATAAACAGCCAATTATCAGGACCTTTGAGTTTTACTCAGTTCTTTCCTGACTATGAAACCGCTGTTTGCAGGATTTTTATCCTCGTAGAGAACTGAGACGGAAACTAAGTTTCTGTTCTGGTACTTACCTCGGTCGCCTCGGCTGCTGATGGGACTGGCCTGGAGAAGCCCTCAAACTGGAACTCTCCGACTTATATAACTAAAAGACTGACTTTTTTAAAAAACACATAAAATTTATAATATCAAAGTTATGTCGACTTTCTCATGGCAACTGGAAACCAATTCCAACATTATTTCCTTTGAAAGGGCTTGATCGGAATCCTCTCAGCCCATATTGATTTTTGCCGTTTGGGATTTAAGCTTTGATATTGCTCCTTTGGTAAAATACGAGCATAACTAAACAAAGGTCGTGGGTTTGAATCCCACTGAAGCCTGAATGAAAACGTCTCAGCATATAAGCATGACCATCCGCGAAATTCAGCCAGTCTTCGAAGTCAGCTTTAGTGTAATTACTTTCCGTTTGATTCACTCGGCTTACCCTCTTAGGCGCAGGTAAACGCCAACTGCTAACTTCATGCGAGTAATCTGAAGCACAAGAAGATAATCTAACAGTTAACACATATTCAAAAAGCAAAAAATAACTTCCTTACCTTAAAGAGCTTCTAATCTTTTTTCAGTCAGAGTCAGTGTCGTAATGCGTTTCTTCAGGAACGCAGCCAGAAGCACTTCCAAAAGTAACTTAACTTCTTGTGAGCATAAGTGAAACAGTCAGTTTGGCGTGCTCGATCTTGAGAGGGCGCGCCCAAAAAGTTGTCTTCGAGACCATTTTCCAGCGAAAAAAATGAGTTTAAAAAATGATGACGTAAGTTGTTCCTGAAATAAAACTTTTTAAATTATTTACTATTGGTTTAATTTAAAAAATACTCTGATGAGGCAACATTGTGTTGGTCAACTTTTATTGTTCATTTCTGAAAAGCAAGGTACCGCTACAACAAAATCTAGATCGATAATCTACTTAGATTACTTAGTTCTGGTTAAAAAGAAAAACCAAGTTGATGTGAACCCTTTGTTTGTCAAACTTTATTGTTCATCAACTTTAAATTACTTACAACTCAATTACAGTTATTCAGCACGATTTTAAAAAGGCACTGCCTTGCGTTTCTTCAAGAACGCAAGAGATGTTGCAACGCGTTTCTTCAAGAACGCAAGAGATGTTGCTACGCGTTTCTTCAAGAACGCACCCAAAGAGCCACGAGGGTAGGAAGCTTGACGAGAGGGCGCGCCCAAAAAGTTGCGGCAGAATCCAAAAAAGTTAAACTAAATGATTTTTGACGCACCTGAAATGAAAAATTAGTAATTTCTGTTTTTTAAAAAACTAGACCACACTCTGACACTTATTTTTAATGCACGCATGCGCAGTTGTTAAAGATATCACACATACAACTCAGTGTTTTGCTTTTTGCTTTATTTTCATGGCGTTATTACATGAAGTATTTTTATTGTAATTAACCTGCAAATCAAATTCCTGTTAGTTAGTCCCTGCAAATCAAATTCTTATATCAGTTAGTACTTATAATAAATTACTCTATAGATTTTAAAGTAAGAAAATCACACAGACAACATATTAGTTTAAGTGTTTTTTATTGAATTCAGTTGGCCGTTTACAGAAATTAAGTAGTCTATACCGATTGGGGTGCGCTCCTACAAGAATTTGGCGTCTGAGTGATACCGAGGAGTGTAACATGTGTCCATAAACCATGACACCTCGAATGAAACACACCAGGGTCCCCTGAGACGGAATGCAGGGATTTGGCGGCTAGCTATCGAGACGTTATCGATACCAAGCCTTCACGTTTTTTGAAGCCGAATCCGGAATATAAATTAGGTTGAAAGTCGAATCGAAAACCGGAAAAAAGCCGAATGGACCGAGCCGATCGAGAAACCGAAACGCAGAGAACAAAAAAATCCACATACCTTTCCCACGCTGAAGTATTTAAACCTGGGCCGATTGCTGAGGTGCAATGTGTGCGAAAAATACGAACCTTTTTGTAAAAAAAAAAAAAAAATGACCACCGAAATTCATTTGTTTCATACGCTACTTCTTGAGGCCAAACACGTCAGCTTTTGATACGCAAACTTTGTACCAACATCAATCAGCCCTACCTTACATGGGCTGCTGTACTCTGCCATGTTCCTCCACCAAAGAACCAATGATACTGGGAACCATACCACAATCACGGTGAAAAAAAAACGTGGATGTATTGTCCATGTTGATGACTTGTAATGGTCGTTACTCCGAAGATGAAGTCCGGCCGGCCAATTATATAAAATTTAATTAATGATTACCAGCTGTCTCAACTAAAATTGAACAATGCAACACGAGAGAGAATAATGCAGCTTTTACGCTGAACAGTTTTTAGAACTGCCCAGACTAATTTCAAGAAAAATTGAAAGGAGACGGTGAAATATAGACCCTCGGGAATATCAACGTTAGTTTAGACAGCTGTTTTTAAAGTTATTGCTACATGCTGTCTTCTCTGGCGTTACCTTGCCTTCCTAATGATGAAGTCGTTTGCACTACGATGTTCTTGACTTCTGTTCGCAATAACCAATCTATATTTCAGCGTAAGTTTTCTCAGTTCAAGAGAATTAAAGCAACGAAAAAGATTTTGGCAGAAGCAAAATGACGTCTTAGTGTAAACGATCATCATCATCATCATCATCATCATCATCGTGGTCGGCATCATCATCATTTTCCGGTTTGGTCCTGCCACTGATCCTTCTCCATATTCATCGCCACAAAGGCAGCTACCTCGTCTACTTATTAAAGTAACTCTACTATCTCTACTACGGCTCTGGAAGTTCTTTGTTCTTCTTTCTTCGGCCGGCCTCTTCTCTTGATGTAGCACTGGACTCGCAATACAATACAATGCAATGCAATAAAATAAACTTTATTTATTCACATTTCCGATGTACAAAGCAAAAAAGAAAAGTTGAATAAACAGTGTGCTGCTTAAAATGCAGTCCCAGTCATGACGTCCTTCTAGAACTGTTGGAGGGAGAACACTGCTGACGACTCCAGCGGGACGGAGAAACCAATAGTCACGTACGGTCGACGTGAAGACTACGTACGCTTACCATTTGTAGACGATCTGTGCCTACATAGTGCAATGCAGGGCTTCCTAAGAAGAAAACCCTCCAGTAAGGCAAAATTAACAAGAAGACAAACTAAATCGTCTTGATGTCAACGATGCCACGCCAGAGAATCCTCTCCTGCTATTTCCGTAGCCTCTGAAAAACTATCTAAAACCTGCGAGGTTTTCACCTGAATGCCATTCAGGGGCACGCATGTGAAGGTATGGTGGGCCTACACACTAGTGTCCCCAAACTATTCCGCCGAGCATCTCATGTGACTACTTCGCTGGCTTAACTGACTCTTTCTAAAAGCCGATCAGCTTGTCCGTCCTGCTCCAACGAAGAATCTGCGTCGTAGATTGGTCTCGAAGACTTCCTACGCTTACGATTTGTAAACGATCTAGCTTATGGTGTGTGGATTGTCCCATTTTGCCCTGGTAACCTGCAACAAAGTGTTGACTTTTCGCAGAAAGAAACGCTTGGTTGCAAATTACCTTCTTTGTAAGACCAAACCTGTCAACTATTCTACCCTCACAAATCCAGAGTCTGGAAAGGCGCATAAGAAAATTCACTTCATATCCATACTTTTTATTATCAAAAGTCAAACTGGTGGGAGAAGACCCGGATTTGTGAGGCTAAGCTAACTATCTACCTGTAACCAGAGAGACCATTAAGCTCCTGAGAGGTGGCCAAATGAGGTCTACTCACCGTAGCTGAATGATCCGAAGTCTCTAGTTTGCTAGGTTATGTCTTAGAATAATAAAAGTCTGGTTGAACCTTGCGAGTGAAAGCTTCACTTGCCCAGCGCTTAGACTAACAAGTGAAGTGTAAAGAATAATTGAATTTCGCGCAACTAAGCGGGAGACTGTAGTGAAGACGACGACAACGGAGGCGGCGAAGTCCATCTGAAAAGTCGCAAAAAGACGAAGCCGAAATGAAACCTAATCGAATCCTAAAAGCCGAACTCTTTCGTCGCTGACCGAACACCTGCAAAGGAACCCAGCTAATGAAAAAGGGAAGGGAAGGCCCTTACCAGCCCAGGGAACCCGCTAACTAATCTAACTACAATTAAGTTAAGCCGAAAAAAAAAAGTCCGGAAATTTCAGGCCGAACGTGTGTGGAAAGTATGCTTTGCAAGGTTCATCCAGAGCTCTATATACCCCCCTTGACCCAACCCATAAAGAATGCACCTGACCTGTACCATTTCAGTAGATTGGGCGTGCTGTGCCGATTAGAAGCTGAGTAGTCGAGGATGGTGGCGTGTGGTCTGGTGGGGAGATCTGATCTGGTAGTTTGGTATGGCGGTGGCGCAGGTCTGATCTGTCGGGTCTTATCTGGTGGCCGGCCCGGTCTGTTGGTTTGGAGTGGAATTCGGACGTGGTGGTCTGATTTCGGTAAGGATCTCCTTGCTGTTGTAGTGGTCTGATCTGGGCTCACGGGTCTGATAGTCTAGTTTGGCAGTCTAATCTGTAGTTGTGTACGTGGAAGATGGTCTGTTCTGGTCTGCTTGAGGGCTGAAAATTGAAAAGAAGAAACCCTGATGTAATCTATCATAATGAAATGGTTCAGTTATTAAAGTACGTTAGGAAGCTACAAGGAGAAATGATATGGAGAAAAAAACTCGAGAATATTTTATTTTTCGAATTCTGTCGCAGCCTTAAAAGAATTCAAGCCCGAACCGCTCTGATAAACTGACAAACTTTAAAGCTATGGTAAGAATTTGACTGCCCAAGTTCGTGTTAACTGGACACAGGCGAATATCTATTTGCAGGGAAGTTTGCTCCTGATTGAGCCGGATCAAGTAAGATCTAGGTAAGCTCAAATCTGCCAAAAAAATAGAAGAGAAGCTATCGGAAAAATGCAATAACTGATCAATACTGATTTTTAAAAAAAATTATCACATTTTTGAATTCAACATCAGTTTAACAATTAAATCGTTAATAGTCTACTAAAATAAAATAATGAATTAAAACTGTTTATAATGGGTTCTATAATCATTATAAACTATGCAGCATGTACTTCGTGTATATTTTTATCAATTCATAATGTCCATTTATAATAGCTGCAGTTGGGTTTTTAACACGAACCTTCCAAGAAAACAACTCCACTAAACTTACAAAAATATTAGCCTAACAAATTTCAGTTATTCCGAACCTCGTGGAAGTGAAACCCATTCAGTTAAACATAACTTTTAAATAAGTAGAAAATTACGAAAAAAAAAACTTCTGCAAATTTCGAGACCTTTGGTGATATAATTGGTTAACTTTCTTCCCCATTTCAAAGGTCGTCCGGCATTTCGCGACAGTTAGGTCCGTCAAAATCTCGCTTTCGTAAACCGGGAAAAAACAGTATATCAAATTTGTCGTTTTGGAAACCGAGGAGAGGAGGAAGAAGGGCTTTTTTCCTGGACAATGATGTCTTTACAGCAACTTTGCTTGTATTTTCAGT